AAGATAAAAGGATTATTGGGCAAATACCGCAAAAAAAATGAAAAAAATGCCTACAGGCAAACCGTAGACACGTGTTTCTGACTGTTGGTCTTCATCAGTACGGTGCAGCCAAGTTCAAAAGAGAATGGAACTAGCGTTGAGGTCCATTACTCATAGCACAGGTGGTACATTTCTTACACCAGTCCTTTACATCATCGGAACTGTTCATCCAGTAAAACCTTTCCCGAACTCTCTGAAGGGGTTTCCTAACACCGAGATATCCTCCTGATGGACTTTCGTGTAACTGACGGAGTAATTCAGCTACCCTACTTCTTGGAATGACCAACTGTCTTATGTTCTCGGAACCATCATCATTTTCAAGTACTCACTTTAATAAGCCAGGATAAAGGAGTACCACTGAGCCAAATAAGACTTAAGTACTAGAGAGAGATTAGATACTTCTGGCCAAGAAGGTCGACGATTTTCCTCTTTCCATTGTCGCATCTTCTTTAAAACGATATCATTCTCTTGTTCTTCCCTAATTTTAGCAGAGGCCCACTCATCGTTGACTACAGTTGTTCTTAGTAGTCCAGTTTCTTTGGATTCCGCTTTGTTGCAGTGGGAGCACTCTGCTGGACATGGTCTTCTAGAGAGAGAATCGGCATTTATGTGACTTATTTCAGCTCGATGTTCAATCTTGAAGTCCTACTCTTTAAGTCTGGCGATTTGACCCTCTGGGTACTTAAATTGCATTAACCACTTAAGGGCTGCATGATCGGTTCGGATTAAAAATTTCCTTCCGTACAGGTATTGGTAAAAGTGTTCCACGCACTTTACAACTGCCAGGAGTTCTCTTCTTGTGACGCAGTAATTTCGTTCAGGTTTCGAGAGCACTTTACTAAAATAGACTAGTACTCTTTATTTCCCTTCCTGAATCTGTGAAAGCACTCCTCCAATTTCCATATTACTAGCATCAGTATCCAAGATAAATTCTTCCTCTGGTAGTGGGTAGCCTAGTATTGATGCTGTTGTTAAATGGTTCTTTAATGTTTCAAAGGCAGTTTGGCAGTCCTCGTACCAGCAGAATTCCCTCACTTTTTCCTTATCTACAGCCACGCTATCCTTGCTGACTACATGACCCAGGTAATTAACTTTATTTTGAAATAGCTGGCATTTCTTGGGGTTAAACATCAGTTGGGCAGCTTGAAGTCTTTTAAAAACATCTTCTAAGTTCTTTAGATGTTGATCAAATGTCTTCCCCAGGACTATAATGTCATCTAAATATATTAGGCACGTTTCCCATGATAACCCTCTCAATACATTTTCCATAAGTCTTTCGAATATCATGGGGGTATTACATAGTCCAAATGGCATGACATTGAATTGCCATAATTTAGATCCGGTGGTAAAAGCTGTCTTTTCTTTGTCTACTGGTCCATTTCCACTTGCCAATAGCCAGACTTTAAGTCTAAGGTAGAAAATAGTTTACTTCCGGCCAATGTGTCCAAGGTATCGTTGATACGAGGCAGATGGTAACTGTCTTTCTTGGTAACATTGTTCAACTGACGGTAATCCACACAGAACCTCGTAGTTCCATCCTTTTTCTGGACCAGGACTACCGGAGAGACCCATGGGCTGGTAGAAGATTCTATCACCCTGTTTTTCTTCATTTCCTGAACAATCCTTTCAGCTTCCTCTCTCTTGGCCTTTGATAATCTTCGAGCTGATTGACAAATCGGTCTGGCGTCACCAGTGTCAATTTTGTGTTTCACGACAGAAGTTCTTCCTGTTTTTCCTACTTTTGGTACAAAAATATCACGATATCGTCGAAGAAATTCCTTTATTTTCTTTTTCTCTAATTGATTCAGAGATTGACCAGCAACTGCAATCATTTGCTCAAATTTGTCATTGGAATTATCAGAAGTTGTAGTCTGACGAATTATGGAAGTTACTGGTACACAAGTTCCGATTCTGGTCTCTTTCTTTATGGTAATTGGGTGATAATTAACGTTTATAAGACGAACTGGAATATCTTTATCAGTCGTGACCAACCCCTTTCCAATCAGAATTCCTCGTCCAACCTCTTCATCGTGGTTCCAAGGTTCCATCATTACAGGGTTCCTTCTTCCATAGTTTCTTGAAGCCGTGCTACTGTAACCGTTTCACTTCTTCCAGGTACCACCATATCCTCCTGTACCGAAACTGGCACAGTACGGTCCCCATATGGATGTAGGAATACCTCTTCGGCACCAACTTTGATCACTCTGTTCTTAAAGTCTAACTGGAAACCATGTAAGTCCATTACATCCATTCCAAGTATAACATCTTCTTCGATATCAGCGACAATAACAGTATGAGTGAACTTTTCTGTACCAATTCCCAATTGAACCTGGATTTCCCCATGGATGTTGGCACTTTCACCGGTGGCAGTCCGCAGTCGCAATCTTATTGGTAGAAGTTTCGTACGGTTATTTATGACTGTTGGTCGTATAATAGTCCTAGTTGCTCCAGTATCCACCAACAGTGTATACTTTTTGCCATTTACTTCGCCGTCTACGTATACACTATCATCGCGACATTTCAAAGAGGCTATCAGTATGAGAGGGCCTTTGGAACGGTTTCGGGTCGAAGCTGCCCCATCTAAGCCGACCCGCTCCAGTTTTCCTGCGGTGTGTTGTCTTGATTCGTTGTGACCCTTGGACGTTTGCATGAACTGCGTACATGTCCTAGTTCACCACGATTCCAGCACCTGATAGTCTTCGTCTTCATCTTTCTGTCAGTAAGGCTCTTCATCATGTTTACCAGTTGGTCGAGTTTACCTTCCTCTTCTTCCTCTTTTACAGTCCTTACTTTACTGTATCCGCCAGAAGCCTGAGTAGCTGCCTCATATTCTAAAGCAGCGAACAAGACATCGACCAATGTTTTGTGGCGAGCTAAGCGGAGTATTTTCTGCATCTCGTGGTCACGGAGTCCATCAACAAATGTTTGGACTGCCAAACATTCCATCATGTTTTCCGGAGCTGATGGGTAAGCAAATCGCATCAACCTGGCAATATCCAATATCTATTTCATATTCTTGAAGGGTCTCGTCTCGTTTCTGTTTGCTATTCTTTAACTGTGACTGGTATAAATGCTCCAAGTGTTCGTGGCCATATCGCATGTTGAGTCTCTTTTTTAGTTGTTCAAAATATGTTTCTTCCACAGGTATAGTCTGAAAGACATCTAAAGCTTCTCCTCGAAGGGCAATGGTCAAATTTATTGCCTTCTCTCGATCAGACCATTCGTTTGCTCTGGCAGCTGTTTCGAACTGCTTAAGGTAGTTCGTCCATGACATCTTCCCATCAAAAGTTGGGGCTTTAATACGAGCAGAATTTACAGCTCCTTCCAAATTCAACTTCGACTCTACCTCACCGTCCTTGACTGGTTCTGAATGTTCCAGTTCTTCTATCTTCTTTTCCTTTTCTTTTATTTTTTCCTCGACGGAAGACATTATTTTCTCCTCAACAGAAGTCATCTTGTTTTCCACATCAGCAGAGATTTCATTTTTTAGAGAAGACATATCAGAAGAAATTTCATCTTTTAAAGAAGAGATTTTGTTTTCCAAATCGAAAGAAATTTCGGTTTTTAAAGAAGATATGTCAGAAGATACCTTTTCTTCTAAGGAAGAAACTTTACTATCTAAGGAAGAAATGTCTGAAGAAACTTTAGTTTCTAAGGAGGAGATATCATTTTTTATAGAAGAAACATCAGCAGTAATTTCAGTTTTCATAGAAGATATTTCGGATTTAATATCGGAAGAAATTAAAGAAATTATAGAAGAAGCATCATCCGAAAATAGAAACGTTTCCGGATCCAAACCTTCGCTTTCCATTACTTCTTTAAGCCGTTCTGGCAGTTCTGCTTTCTTCTCTGTCGTCTCGACGTAGCTCGGTCACTTTTAAATCACACAGTCTTCTAGCCATTATTGTCCACTATTTATTTACACTATCCCACTTCTCGACACCAATGTGATGTTTGTTAATTTTAAACAACAGTTTATTTGTAAATAATTTATTTAAACACTTATTTATTTTATAACACTGCTATTCTAATTTATATATATTTTTAATGTCTTTGAATCGTTCTATATTTATATTCACAGTCCAATACGTTATTCTCAACTGTCTATATATATTTGATTGCCTGTGTTCCTCCACCAATATTTATATACAAATTTTAAATTATTGGGCTCCAGAACGTTCTCGCCAAATTAGAAACATTATCACGTTATATTTGGAATACACTAGAAACAGTATCCCGTTCTTTCACGAATAGTAATCGAAAGCTCGCCATTAGTCGTCACATATGTTTGGTCTTAAGGGGTTTAATTATGTATGATAATCGGACAAGTTGAGCCTCAAAGGCCAAATAAGACAGGGAGGGACTTGGAGGATTAGAGCATGACTGAATAATGAAATGGCTCACATTACAGTATTGAATGATTGATTTCACTTCTTACTTAACTTATAAAAAAAAAAATAATAGAAAAAGTGAACATCTACAGATTGTTTGAAATTTTCTCTCAATTTTAGTTCACGTTCCATTTTTAAAATAAGAATATCTAAAATGTTTATATTGTAATACATGATGCCCCAAAATTCGCGTTGATATACATGGTAGGTAAGTAAAATATTGAATTTATTCCAAACTAAGTTTTCAATGTATCATACATTTTTTACGGTATAGAAGTTAGTATGGGGAGGGGTTATGGCAATGTATACAGGGAGTTCCAAAATTAGAGGAAAATATTTTAACACAGAATTTTAATACGTGAAAATAAGGCAGGCAGTTCCTATAAAGAGAACCTCCTGAAGATATTTTCGAAAGCACTAAGTCCTAGCCAGCCCTAGCGTCAATTTAACTATCGTCGAAATAAGGAATATAAACGTAACGAGGTGTGGTATTAGATGACTATGTTTTTGTTTGCTTGTTTTCTATACTGTAGGTCTATTTAAGCAATTTATTTTGTATTATTTTTATAGATACCGCTCAAGTTTATGGTAACGAAGAAGATATAGGAAAAGCATTAAAAGAACTATTTCCAAAACATAATTTAACAAGAAAAGACGTATTTATCACATCGAAGCTACGTGAGTGCCTATTTAGTATAATTATCGTCTTTCTTCACGATGTCACAGCGGTGGCTTTAAGAAGAAATGAGTTTTTTGTTTATACAGTATGTCTCCCTAAGTTAGAATCATATGGAAAACTTTTTTATTATTAATTTTAGGAAAAAAGTTATACTTCATAAAAAGTTCTGCATTGTCTAAGACCTAGAATACAGTCATCAAATATCAAATTTTTTCAGTGGTATACGAGGTTTGTCAAAAAATATGAGTTTTACTCAAGAGTAAAGTACCTTTATTCTCTATACGACTGATAAAATTTGATATTTGATGGTTGTATTTTAGGTTTTAGACTATGCTCGACTTTTTATAAAGAACAACGTTTTTTCCTAAAATTAGTAATAAAAAAGCTTTCCTATGCCACCAACTGTCTACGTAAATTGGCGGCATATGAACATCTTTTTTATTATTAATATTGGGGAAAAAGTTATTCTTTATAAAAAGTCGAGAATGGTCTAAAACCTAAAATACAACCAACAGATATCAAATTTTATCAGTCCTATAAAGAATAAAGGTACTTTACTCTTGAGTAAAACTCATATTTTTTGACAACCCTCGTATACCACTGAAAAAAATTGATATTTGATGACTGTATTCTAGGTTTTAGAAATGCAGAATTTTTTATGAGGAATAAATTTTTTTCCTAAAATTAATAATAAAAAAGTTTTCAATATGATTCCAACTTAGGGGAACATACTGTATATTGACTTTTTCATAAATTTTTACATTTTTCTAGGATATTTTATTATTTTATGCCTCCTAATACCCTACTATAGGAGTTATTCTTCTTTTCACGGTGGTTTGCCCTGATTACAATAGTAACCTACGAGCTATGTTTCCTAACCCAGATAGCACAGGACGTCCCATGGACGTCCTGATTTGGTCCCTTGTTGGTCCGGTTGGTCCCGGACCTAAATAGGACGTCCACTGGACTTCCGATTACAGTTAACACTAGGACGTCCTTAGAAGGACGTCCTCTGGACGTCCTATTTTGGTCCCGTTTCGACAAAGCGTTTAGTTTTCGGTCCGAGTCCGGGACGTTAATGGGACGTCCAAGGGACGTCTATGGGACTTTCTATGCACTAGCATCGTTGGTCTTTGAATCGATAACTTGAAATTCAACGTTTTGATTTTGCAAGAGTATGAGGACAGAAAACCTAACCTATCATTTATTTTCAAATGAACAACAATAGCTACAATTTTCGGCATTCAATAATTAACTGAAATAAGTGAGTTAGATTAACGAAGAAAAAAGGTTATATAGTGTTATTTGTTATTTTTTTGATGTTGGTGGTAAAGTATGGTTATAAAGTGAAGTAAGTGTTTTGTGTTGATGTGAGAATAAGTGATGTGTATTGTCGGTAGCCGCTGGCGGAAAGAAAATACCTTAATGGCGGAAAGTTGGAACAAAACTAATTTGGACAAAATTATAATACTCAGTTTTGTCGACACAAGCTATAAGTAGGACCCAAGGTTTCATCTTGCCAGCGCTGTGTGTTAAATTTAATTAATTCCTGTTTTTTTTTTTTTAACTGAAAACGTTTAACTCTAGCTAGGTTTTTTAGGATAAAAGTTGTTAAATAAAGCTCTTTTATTGTTAACATTTTTGTTATTATTACCCTTTATGGATTATGGTCAAATATATCGTCCCTCGGACGTCTGATTTACGTCCCTAGGACGTCCCGCAAAGGTCCCTATGACGTCCTTTTGGGATGTCCCTAAGGGACGTCCCTAAGATGGACAGAAACGGGACATTAGGACGTCCATGGGACGTCCGATTGACGTCCCGGTACCAAAATAGGACGTCCCTCGGAAGTCCTTTATGTCCCTAAAGGACGTCTTTTAGACGTCCATAAGACGTCCGTGTGCTATGTGGGAAGTGTTGACGCGTGGGACAATTTTGCTATTTCCAATCTCATATATGGACAAGTCCATATAAGATGGAAAATATATTTAAGGAAACCACGAAAACCTAAATCGCGATACTGTACTATTATGGTGTGGTTAATTATATGATTGGGAAGCATTTATCTGATAGATAGTGGAGATCCTGGAGTTCAGCTGTAAGTGGGAGGTCTTGGGAGTCTGAGAGTAGTCTTAAAGTTAGGTTGTGGGAATTTTATTTTCGGTTTTCCAAATAGTGGGGGGCGGCGTGGGCGCCAAGGGGTTTGTAAAGTGTTTTGGGAGTGCGAGAGACGTATTGTTTCCTGAGGGAAACGTGATGAAGGGGTGCTGGAGACGTTTTCGAAAACTCCTCTGCTAGGAGAGCGAAAGAGAAAAAATTGGCATAGTCGGAGTATACGTCTCACGAGTGTGGTGAATGTGTGGGCAAGACGTGTAGGAAGTACGCCGAAAGGTACTGTTGTGTACTTGGCAACGGGGCGGATAAAAGAATTGTAAGTGAGTGGATTCAAGTATTATGTTACATCGCCAAAATCGTCCACACAAAGCCCTCAAAGAGGCTGGCTCGCTTCCGCATCGTCGAGAGAGCATTCGACATCAGAGAACCAATTTAATGTACGAGAGAATCGTACTCCCAAATAGTTAACTTCCGTCTGTTCAGCAAATCTGACTCCCAGGAGATTTATATTGACGTGTTGAGGGATTTGGGTGGCCCTTTTTGAGTTCGGATGTTTAAAGATAATAAATTGTGTTTTTTGTGGATTGAGTGAGACCTTCCATCTGCTACACCAGCGAGAATACTGGTCTAACAAATTTTGGGTTCGAGTACTTAGTTGGTCAAAATGTTGAGCCACAGAGAGCAGAGCAGTATCGTCGGCATAGATAAGGCATTTTGACGATGAGTGGTTTGGAGATGGGATAGCGTAGGTGTATATGAGGTATACGAGAGGGGCCAGGACGAAGCCCTATGGTTCCCCAGCACGTGGGGTGAGTGGGTCTGACAGGGCGTTGCCTACTTTGACCGAGATTGTTGTGTCAGTGAGGTAGGAGTAAAAGAGTTTGGAGATACTAGGGTAGACCTATGTTCTTGAGCATTTTTATTAGTCCAGCATGCGTGACTTGGTCAATGTCTTTTTGAACATCTAGAAGAACAGCTGATGAGATTTGTTGGGAGTTTACTGCAGTGATTGCAGTAGTGTGAAGGGTGGAGATTGCGTCATGTGTGGAGTGATGAGGTTTGAAACCATGTCGGGATTGAGGGATTATGTTTCTTTCTTCACAAAAGTCCCAGATTCTTTCTTTGAGCAGAAGTTCGAGCAGTTTACCTAGTACTGATATGAGAGGATTAGGATGGTATGAATCTATGGATTTGAGGTCCTTGCCTGGTTTGGGAATCAAAATGGCGTTAGCGGATTTTCAGGCAAGTGAAAAGTAGGTATGAGATAGACAGGCTTTGGGAGTAGGATGACGATAGAAAACATCGTTTCAGGAAGATGTTTCAGCGTTCTTCTAAGTATGGAACCGGTCCCAGAGGCCGGTTATTTGTCGGTTCCATGACAAAACAGCGGAAGACAAAATAGCTAAGACAAAATAGCACAGGACAAAATAGCGCAAGAAAAAATAGCGCAAGAACAAAATAGCGCAAGACAAAATAGCGAAAGGACAAAATAGCGCAGAACAAAATAGCGCAGGACAAAATAGCGTATCAAAATATTCCAGTATTCTAATTAAAATTTAAAAAACTTAATGTTAACTAATTTATCTATCCTAGGCGACCTGAAACCATCGCAGATTACTTTAAAAAAATTGATATACTATTAGAAAAATTAAAAAAACAAATCGTAACTAATTTACTTAACCTTTGCGACGCGTAGCTATATATAGCATTCCGCTATGGCTCCAGACCGCAGAGGTTAGGTACATTAGTTTGTTTTTCTAATTTTAATTAGAATACTAGCATATTTTGTCACGCGTTAATTTGTTTCACTTTCTTGCGGTGTTTTGTCCTGCGCTTTCTTGTTTGCGCCATTTTATCCTGCGCCATTTTGTCCTGTGCTGTTTTGTCATGGAGCCGTTTTCGCCTGTTTGGCAGGCATATTGGACGGTGAATGGAGTTGTGAGGGGGTTTTCGACATCAAAAGGTATGACTGGAGCGACAAGTGTCTGAAGGACGTTGTGTTCGGTCTCGTGTCGGAATTGGTCATAAAGAAGGGGTGGTCGGAGATTCTGAAGGTGGTTTCGAGGTGTGTTTTGTGTAATAGGACTTTTTCGTCGGAGGTTATGTGAGTTGCACCGTCTATTTCGATGTTGGTGTTAGTTTTGAATTTTTGAACAGTGGTAAGTCGGAATTTGTCCCAAAACTTGTAACCATCTCTATGATCCAAATTATAGGTGGTATTGACCCATTGTTGTTGTTTGTGTAAGTTTTGATGAAAGGGTCGTGGGTACCGACATATTATCTATACAATCGGCGTTTTTGGAGAATGAGATTTAGGATGAATTGAGGGAATGCTTATTTTGATAGAAGAAATTGGGACTGAAGTTTCGAAGGCGTGGGATATGGTAGTTTGGACTTCGGTTACCAGTGTGTTGATGTCCTGTAGGGAATTGAGCGGGCGTTGCTCTGGAATATTTGCAGAGATAGTTCTCTGAAATAGTGGCCAATCTGCTTTTTTGAGATTCCGGAAGGTGTATATTGTAGCTCTTGGTGGAACGGGCAAAAACAGAGATGTATGTAACATCAGTGTCTCCAATGAAGCATCTATCACTAGTCCAGTACCTACAGGAATCTGTCAAAAAAGATTTGGTCCTAGATGATCCTAGGTGAGAACTGGGATTGTAGGATTGGGATGAGAATTTGTTTACGCCGACGCAGAGTTGAAATCTGATTGACTTCAAGTTTACGAATTCGTATATAGAAACAATGTGTATCGATAGCTTAGTTCATAATAGCAGTAATACCCACAGTCCAAAGTTTCCAGATTCGACTCCTGATCGATGAACTCTGTTTTTCTTTAATTCTCAGCTTTTCAATTTTTCTTTAGTTTGTTTTTAGGCAGCCTGGGGATATGAGGAAAAATTTTCATAATTCCATAGGGGGAATTGGGAATGTTTCATTTTCATATTTCCAAAATTGAATTAAATATTCGTTATATTTTTCTGGATAATATTTAAGAAATCCATAAGAAAATATATATAAAGAATATAATTTTAAGCAAAATTAAAACAATTCAATAACAGTTCATGAAATATGGCTCAACTACATATATACAGTACTTATTATTTTGTATTAGGCATAGCCGCGCTTTCACAGCGAACATGTGGCAACTACGATATTCTCGCTATCGCTATGCTCTCTAGCTTTGTGCCTCATATTTGGTTCGGCTAATATGCCACCACCATATCTTCTAATTCTAATCGACGACTGGCTGTTGCCATGTTGCCATTTTATTAACTTGTATACTAGTTGTATGCCTAACACGAAAAAATAAACACAGTTTATACATTCATTATAATATTTTTATCATTAAGGTTTTGCTTGTGAGTATATTCAAAACTGGTTTGTGAATCAGGCTGATAGTTTTCCATTTACTCCTAAGTACCTATAGTTCTTTAAATGCCAATAAAAAACTTTCGCTGCAATCCTGATGAACTATTTTCGCAAAATATAATTATTGATGTTTTCAGCGGCACGTGAATATGTTTATTTGGAGAAGAAAGCCTACGCAACCTTGCAGCAATCACTGAAAAACCTAAACCTAGATTATCTAGATCTATACTTGATTCACTTTCCTGGTATCCCGATGGCAGAGACCGGACTTAAGGATGTTAATTATTCAAAAATAAGGAACGAAACCTGGGAACAGTTGGCAAAGGGTGTAAAAAATGGATTGGTTAGAAATATTGGTGTGTCCAATTACAATGTCAGACATTTAACTGAATTGATCAATAATGATCATGGAGTGAAGGTAGCTCTAAATCAGGTAAGATACACAGTGTTTGAAATTGTATAGGCGATGTTACTTTATGCATTCAGTTGGTCCAATAAATAGGGTTCCGTAATGTTTATTTTTAATTGTTGAATTCCATAAAAGTTTGTAAACTGTTTTTGCTGAATACTTTCTGCAGAAATAAACCTAATACTATAACAAAGGAAGAAATCTGATGTGTCCAACACATGACTTTCTTATCTAGTTATTATAGGCTTTTCCGGTTATTTTGTACAACCTATTGCAGTATCTCTATAAATGTTTAGAGGATAAACTAAATATATACATTGTCCACATACATCTACATAGAAACATTTTTCTATAGATATTCATTGAAAACGAAAATACTGAAAAATTCAAATTTCCTACAATTTTTTCATTACGGTCCATTTTAGAAAAATCATGTATAAACAAAAATTATAGAGATCGATATCGCAAACAACTTTTAGTTCAACAGTTTTCATAAAAAAAAACAGAACTTTGCACATTTTGTCAAATTTCTCGAAAACGGACCATTTCAGGAAATTTTGACAAAGCAGAAATTGTAGATAATAATATTAGAAGTAACTTTTATTTAAACAATTTTTTTCTCCAAACAAAAATAACAGATATATTCCATAAAATATAAAAACGGCCTCCGCATAAAGTACCCCCCCCCCCCCCCAGATGTTCCGACTTTGTCCAAAATCTAATCATTTCACGTCAGGCCGAAATAAAACTTAAGTTTAAAATTTAATGTTTTTTTCTTTATCCGTTTTTGAGTTTTCTACAAATTTCAAAATTTCCAATTTTCTCAAATTTCTCGAATATGGTCCATTTTAGAGAAATTATGTATAGGATAAAAATTATAGATAATTATATTACAAACAACTTTTATTTGAACAATTTTTATACAAAAATATTATTTTACATTTTATCAAATTTCTCGAATACGGACCATTTTAGGAAAATTTTGTATAGAACAAAAATTATAGATAATAATATAAAAAGTAACTTCTATTTGAAGAATTTTCTTCCCCAAAAGTAAATAACAGATATATCCCATAAAATATAAAAATGACCACCCATAAAGTACCCCCCCAGATGTTCCAACTCTGCTCAAAATCTAATCAGTTCATTGGACGCTGGAACAAAGCTTAAGTTTAAAATTTGTATCGGTTCATGAGTTATGCGAGACACACACACACGCGCACGCACGCACCCACGTACGCACGCACGCACCCACACATAGGAAAGTAAAAATGGACAATTTTAGTATTTTGAGTATATTAAGGTCTAGATAGATCTACTACCGTTTTTTTTGTCATAAACTGAAAACGATATCAATGTGAAAATTTCAGGAAAAATTAAGCTCTATAAGGGAACGAAGAAGCCTATTGATTTTGAAAAAAATCTAAATGAAAATGAGGGAGTTAAGGGGGAGTTGAAATAATTTAAAAAATCGTAACTTAAAAACGAAAAATTAAATCAACTTGAAATTCTTCTTCTATTGCTTCTTTTTTTTTAATCACTTATATAACAATATTATTTTAGGTAGAATGGCACCCTCTTTACCATCAAGATGAACTATTGGAATTTTGCAGAAAAAATGAAATTATCCTTCAGGCATATTTATCCTTAGGAGGTACTAGTAGTTCAGAAATTTTTAATAATCCTGAAGTTAAGAAAATAGCCGACAAGTTGGACAAAAATGTGACTCAGGTAAAAATGTTTCATTACAACTTTTATTTATTTTTTGTAATGCACCAAACATTTTTTTTATTCTTTTACGGTGGGCCATACAACAAAATGTAGCAGTTATTCCAAAATCTCTAAAAAGAGAGCACATGGATTCGAATATAGACCTGAACTTTCAAATTCCTGATTCTGATATGAACATTTTGAATAATTTGCCTCAAAAAGGAAAAACTAGGTGGAATCCCGACGAAATTATATAAAATGTTTATTGGGAATTTTATATTTTTATACAATGTGAAAGATTTTTAATAAAATAAATACCTACCTAAATTTTTTAGTTTGGCTCTAGAATGTCAACCTAACCTTAAAAAATAATGTAAATAATTAGGCATTCCAAACTGAATGGCTACCAGTGGGTTCTGACGGGTTATGATATGGCAAAATTATGGCAACCCTGCAGGATTGGTGATTTGACAAGGTCAATGAAATAGATAGTTACATAGATTGATCATCCATATTTTTCAAAATAAACATAAGCTTATGTCTTGAAGTAAAAATGTAAGCAATTATTTTTTTTTAAATATCTAAAGGCTAAAAATTGGTTTTAAAACACATTTTTGCTAAACCGATTCAAATTAATAAATATTTGCCAGGCAATATGGCCGCTCGTAAACGACCAGCTTTGAGCAATCTATATAACTATATATGTATCATTGACCCTGTTAATGACAACATATCTAAACTGTCATTACCCACTGGTAGTCATTTGGACAGGTCGTTGGAATGCCCAATAGTTTAAAAATTGCATTAGTAAAAAAACCGGTGAGATAGACTTTTCCTTAAAAATTTTCCAAGAAATACTGCTCCTAGGCGTTTATTGCTTACATTTTTACAATTCTTGTCATTTACGATGAGTAATGATGGATTATTTTTACTAGTATAAATCTTGTAATGGGTCCAAATAAATAGAAATAAATTTTATTTTTGCATTTTTATATTGCAGGGTTTTTCGGGTACTCATTAAATTTTGTTTTTAGTAAAGATTGAACCGTGACGCAATAATACAAACATCATTTATTTTCTTGAATAAGTCGGTAAGGACCGCAGACCACTTTATTTTAGGTATTTACATGTTATCCAGGTTATCATTAAATATTGTCTTTAGTAAAGATTGAACCCCTACTAAACATGAAACATTGCCAGTCTTTTTTGTAACGTTTTTATAGGGTTTTCTCGATAAATTTTTAAAACTACTTAAGTATCACTTAACTGTAACTGTTACGTATAGAGTTCAGTGTTAAATATCCCATAGATGTTTAAATTTTAACATATTAATTAACATCCCTCGCATATATATATATATATATATATATATCTACAAGTTTCTTGTATAGCAGTTACATAATCATCTTTTATACTTCTTTTATTTACTTCCTGTAACAAACATTTATACGATGTTAACTTATATACCTTCCAATATTTCATACAGGTCAGCACAGTAATGTGTACAAGTTACATCCCAGACAACACACCAAATCCCAGAGATATCCACAGAATATCTTTTGTGGATATCCAATATATCTACAGGATATCAGAAATATCCCGTAGATCTAATATGGGTATCCAAATGTCCGTCTATATCCAGAATATAGAAGATTTCCTATGGAAATCTAGCAAAATATATATCTAATGGGTATCTTCCAGACAATACAAGAAATCCCAGAGATATCCACAGAATATATATTATTTTGTGGATATTCAATATGGATATCCAACCAAATGTCCGTCTGTATCCCAGGATATAGAAGATATTCGGATATTCAGCAAAATATTTTATGGGTATCTTTCACTGATCTGTATTATTTTACTGAATAGGATATAGGCTATATTTAACATACTAAAATATCGTTCCACCAAGGAGACCGGAAGTGCAACAATGCTGGCCGATTTGGGAAAATTATGGTGGGTTCACAGAACTGAATTTTGGGATAATTTGACATACCTAACCTATAATTTGATTTGTTTTTCTTCTTATTCTTCTTCTATTCCTTTTGCGGGCGATGTCCTTCAGAAATTTCACCCATGATTTGAGTTTTTATGAAAGAAAATATAAAAATGGAAACGTGAAGCATATTGTGTCTTCAGGAATGAACGTTTATTGTTTATTTCATACTCTTTTTACTTTGTTTTCCACAATAAAAACATCTCATCGTAGCTTGTTAACACAATTAAATGACAAATGTGATGACAAATGTGATGACCATTGATAAGGCAACGTAAGGATACGTCATATGTATTATTTTTGATATACAAAAGTGGAACCGGTAGGCGTGGCTTTTGCACTCACTAAAATGGCGGAAGAGCAGAACCGGATTTACAAGTTTTTATTGTACTATTTCTGGTTAAATATCATTATTTGAACTATAAAAAAATTAATTTCCTTTTTATTGACATTGACTTAAAAGGTAGGTAGTGGAAGGCCGAGGTTATAAAAGAAGGGGGTTTAAAAGCTTAAATATGCCCGGCTTTCAGCCGAAAGGTGCTGAATAAAGTAAATGAAAGAAATAATATATAACTGATTTAATTATCACTCAAGTGGCTATTAAGCGCTGGAGAATATATTATTTGCAAAATTGCAACTAATCAATGACCATCATATAACTAACTTGGGGCCGATTCCACCATTGGGTTTAACGAAGTTTAAAATGACATTTTTACATAAAATTTAATTTTAATCTTCAATTAATAGTTTAAACTTTAACACAATGGTGGAATTAACCCTAAAGCGTTGAAATCGTTCACAGAAAAAATAAATAGTACATTTTTGGTTCACATAAGCGACAAAAGTAAACAGAGTTCGATTTATTGGATCAGTCGTCACACGTTTGCACTAGGGCACATAAATAGCTCAATCTTTAGTTTTTCGTTTTTCTATGAGCCCAATGCTTCTGTCTTTATCGGAAAGTACAAGGTCGCAAATGTCAAGTAATCTAACCATGGAGAAAGAATCTTTAATTAACAGCTTTCTCGAAATTAAGAACAAATGTTCATACACTAAAAGCTCGATAATCAGATATGAAACTTAATGCAAGGCTCGCGGAAAATGGCTAATAAGCAATCTCTGTGTAGGTAGATGCACTATTCAGGAAATCAAAATGTGGATTAATCTTACTTGGTCTTGATACTTTTGTAGAGACTGAAAGGTGTATATCTTCATGCAAGACATTCAGTAAATCAGCGAAGCCACAACCAGCGGTGTGCAGGTGCACTTCTAACAAATGTAAAATATGAAGTGATCTTACTTGAGACCTATATAGATCCAATGACGATAGTATGGTAGTTGGTTTGAGCTGGGCTTCTCACCATCTGCAGAGATTATGGCTACTTATGTAAAGGCCTACCCTAATAACACACAACATGCCCACAAGCGTGCCGGTCCAATTTAATTGGTCTATGCACAATAATCATGCATGTATAATTGAAAGTCAGACAAAGAATGTGAAGATAAAGTTGAAGTCTCAATCATAATTAAAGTCACAGATGAAGTTAAAGTTAACAGCAAAAGAGTTGAAATTGTAGGATGTTGATAAAGGGAGGCCAACAGCTAGGTAATACATGTTTATTGAGTTAGGAAAAGTATCCACTGTGCTTTTCTTAACCACTAAGGTAAAAACCAGAATATTTTCTAATACACAATTTCTTCGCTAGGCAAAATAAGAAGTAAATTTGTCAGAGTACTTCCCAAGTGTTTTTCCAAAAGCTCTAAGGACAAAATTGACGAAAATGGCCTAATCCAAGTTCAAATTATAAAACTTGAACATGAAAGATAAGTATCTTACTGTAAAACCCCGTTGTTGACTAAATGGTTGAATAATTCATTACCTAGGTGGAGGTAGAACAGGGACTAGAGTTTAGCAGAAAAAGCTACTAGAAAAGGTGAACAAAACAGACTGGGGCATATGAACGTCAAGCAAATATTGTAAATGCAAATAATGTGTGCTGTGATTAAATAAAAGTGTACAAGGAATAAAGTTTTATTTTCTTATCCATATCTATGAGTGATATTTATTTTTAATACTAGACAAACGGTTTTAATTTTATTGCTAGTTTCATTAAAAAAAGACTAATGTTATTTTTTTTTTCGACTTCTGGCCAAGGTGTATATACCTAATATGCCAGTCTCAAGCTTGTGTTTAAATTCTTAATAATTGTGTTCTGTGTAGGCTTTGTTACTGTTTCCCAGCGCCACTTCAGGAACAGCACTGTTAATTATTAGAACCCAACAGTGAATGGTCGAGTGGGGAATCATACCAAGGCATTAGAAAATATTTTTATTATTATAAGAATATAAATTATTCATAATATGCACTGTACAAACTTAAATATTATATTCCTGAATTCATTTCAAGCATAAAATGTCCTATGAACAAATATCCAATTCTACATGGTTACCAAGCTGCAAGAGTTTAAATATCAAAAGATATATTAACACAGTATGCCATGTGTTCCAATATGTCGAAACACAGCACTGAATGTTTGGTGCTTTGGAACTTGTCGGTATGGAAATCGTCGCTTGTTGAGGAGCTGGATAATCTCGAGGTTTCCATGTTGGAGCAGTTGTTGTTGGTGACTACTGGCAAATGTTTGTATTGTATTTTCAACAGTCTCCACTTTAAGGTTCCTATGAAGATCAGTATTGTGGCAGTACCATGGTGCATCGACGATGTTCCTTAATACTTTATTCTGGAAACGATGAATAACTTCGATGTCACTTTTACTGGCACATCCCCAAAGCTGGCGAATCGCTTCATTTTCACCAATTTCTTTAAACGCACTAATCTGAAACAAATTATAGGTAATTAAAAAGGTATATTAATATTGTTTTAAATTAACTATAATAAAACAAACAATACTCATGCATACACAAAACATGAAGCTCTACTTTTCAATCAGCTGTAGAACTAATAAATAAAATTGGTGGAAGGACCGCAAATGTAGGTTATATTTAAATAGAAATAAGAATATATAAAATGCCTATAAATTTGATAAACGAAATAGCGTACGATTAATGTACTTCTCAAGAAAATGCTTGGAACATATACATATATATAATTTAGAAGGTTCCCAATTATGCTTCTTGACAAACTGTATTCACGCGCTACGTTTTTCAGGATTTTTTGGAAATCTATAAATATTATTTCGTATGAAAAAGTATTTATTCCAATATAGGTGGGCCCAAAAGTTGATAGATGATTTTTTTGCATTTTTAAAAGCATACTTTTATACATTTTATACAAACCTGTCATAATACTGTCCTGTATAATATTTATAATTTTGATACTAACCTATGAAACGTTATTCCAGTCGATTTTTCACAAAAACGTCTATCGCTAGAGCAGGAACATATAACACAGCAAGGCATTATATACTTTATAAGTTTTTAACACTCAAAATTTGCTCAAACACAAATCAAATTCAAATTTAATTACACAAATGACACTAAAAATATAACCTATAAAATTTGACAATTTGCACTCACAGTAATGGCGGACCGGTCCCACTTTTCGATTACGCATGTCGTATCCCTAGGTTGCCAGATCAATGGTGATGACAAATGGAAATAGAGGTTACGTTAAATAACATCCGGTCCGCCATATTATTTGCCCAAATCGGCCAATTTTTCAGAACGTTTTTTAGGGGGCTATATCCTATCCAGTAAAATATTACAGATCAGTGGTATCTTTAGTAGAGGCACAGGATAAAGAACGATACAGAAAAGAAACATAGGGCTAAAACAGGAACCTAGCAACCGAAGCCACACGTTCTTTATGGTGGAGCATTGTCAAAAGTAAATCGTAGATTTGTTATTTGTTCGAAGTGCAACAGTTCACACTTTTGTAGCAGATGAACGAAGCTGTCACTACTGTCGCTGTCAATATTTTTTTGCCTGTCGTCTTTATTTTTTGGTTGGTTTTAGCGAATATTCTAATAAATTTTACGTTTTGTTAGTGGTTTATTTTTAGTTTTTGTTGCTGTTTTTAATTGTGGAATGTTCATTTAAGACTTTATTGTACGTATTAAGATTAGGTTTATAAACAATGTCGCGTTAAAGAGGAAGAGGGTATACTTTTATTTATCGTGGATGTACCTCAAGAACAGACGACAAAAAAGGAGTGTTCACTCTTGTGAAAGATCCAATGAGGTATGTATGAAATATTGAGTGTAAAATAGGAATTGACCTTACCATAACATTGTAGTACAATGATTGGATGTATTTTTCAGACTTGAATTGTGGCTTAAGGTAACAAATAGAGAGGACTTATTGGGAAAGAGTGTTGAATACTTAAGTAAACATTACAAAATTTGTGAACTCCACTTCCAGGATAAATTCGTTTATCAGTCAGGAGCAAGAAAACGATTATTTGCAAATGCATTCCCATCAGTATTTCCTCACTCACAACCTATGAGAAGAGTCACAGTTTTGCAAGGTAAATAAATAAAATTTATAGTTTAATATTGCAAAAAGTTTGCTATTTGTCTCGCTTGTTATTTTTTTACATTACATTTAGTAGTATAAAAAATAAAATAAGTACTAATAATCTTAGAGTATCAACCCATACATGCCTCGGAGGTAAACTGCACTATGCCGACATACAACTTATGCAAATTAAAATAGTTTTATCAGTTAGGTTAGTAATAAATACAAATATTGTGACAATAAATGGGGTGTCTAAATGCATATCTAGTTGAAATTTAATAATTTAACAACATTCAATCTGCTGTACTAAACAGTTGACTAGAATGACATAGTGCAGTTTACCTCCTAGGCACAGAAATATATTCAATTATGAAATTATTTTAAATTTCATCTGGCTAAAAAGTGTGACTTAAACTTTTAATTCTGACAAATGATGCACCTTCTTAAAACTAGTTGATCTGATAAAATTTGTTTTTTCTTTCTTTTTTTAGAGGAATTTGTTGTTCATGGCGAAAAAGGCAAAGACAACTTATGCCTACCCTCAACTTCAGCAGACAAGTTCATAGTCGACCATCTGTTTCTCTACCTTGTGCAACAGCACAAATTCAAACGAGTATGTATTATCATCAAACACTCCACGAGAGCAGAGACTGCGACTGAAGATAGCAACGTTAAGGAAACGTTTATCCTTATTGCATATGTAATAAAAAAGAATCTTAAAATAATTCCATTCAAAAATTCTATTTTAATAAAATACATGCATAGATTGTAAACTTATCAATTGCATAAATACACGTTTTTTATTTTTCTTTTATTTATAAAATCCCTAAAATACGCTTTAGCTAATGATTTTTTAACAATTATCCCAATTGATTTATACTTATGGATCATAAATGACTAGTGAGATTTGTGGCACAATATTAATAGTCATTATGACAGGGTAAAATAAACTTTTGTTTAAAACTTTATAATTTTCGTTTTTAAAACCTCTGTCGGAAGTGTTACAAATCGAAAAATATTTTACTTAAATCGAGAATAGTTTAATATGAATTCATGCAAATTTTCATAAAATATGACACATAATTCTGTAAAAGAGAAATGTAGTTTTCGCAGTGTAGGTTGAGTGAATAGCTACGTTCACGTGTACTGAGAATAGTTCCGTTTTCTCAGAGTATCTCTGTGGTGGGGCTCAAGGTCAAATATTTCTATCCCTTCAACTTCAAAGTTCCGACCATTACTTTATTTTCTGTATTGTTCTTTCTTCTGTGGTAGAGGTTCATAAGTAACCAATGATTATTGAATAACGTCAAAAGAAAATAGAGATAAAAAATATTTTCAACACTCCGCCTTTTATTTTTCTCACTAAGTGAGAAAGTCATTCTTATTAGGACTCTTCAGCAATAAATGGAAATTCTCGACTCCAGTCTCTAATGGAGTCTGATTTCGATACAAATTTCGATCGAACTCAATTACGGCCGGTTGAGCATGAGTAGATGCGAAAGTGGTAACGCCATCTATACTTCAAAAATTACATCTAGTGGATATCCACGATGGATTGCGTTCGCACCTAGACTTTGATATATTTAGTGGGTGTCCATGGGATATTGAATACACATTAAAAAAATTAATTTTAAATATCTGAACGGTACTATTAGCCACAATGGCGTAATTTTTTAATGATTTGCTATATAATTACTATTATTTATGGACATTTGCATGTCTATAAATTACATCTCATGGATATAAAATATCCACCATGGACTGGACATTCAGTGGATATTGGGATGTCCAGTAGATATCCAAAGGATTTGGTGTGCTGTCTGCAATATCTTTAAGATGACTATCTTTAGACTTTACACCGCAGACCTAAGCGTCCAGGACTCCATCCCGAGTTCATAGATGATGTTCGCTTGCTACCTACGTAACTTGTGATAATGATTTTGAGCAGTCTGTTTCGTCTAGTATTAAGAATTTTGTTCGAATTTTTTACTTTAACATTCAATATAATAAAATAGGCAGGGCACTGATATACATAAAAAAATATCGGACGTTGTACTGTATCGTAATATGTATGATCTGTGATCGTAATGTCACATCTGGTTTGTTATAAAGACATAATTTTTAGGAACTTCCAGTAACGTTAAAAGACGTAAAAAGGTAGTCCTATATCACTGGAACGTCTACATTGTTTCTTCACAAAAGTAAACGTTTATGAGCTGGGCATGGGCGATTAAGTATCTGTCGCATAGATGAAAACCAAAAGGATAAAAAAAGTTACAATGTAACAATGTAATGTAGAATTTTCATTAATTAAACGTTTTTATGCATAGTGGACTGACGCAATAATAAAAACTAGCGTTGATTAGTAAACATTTATTTCTTTGGATCACTTGGATGAGACCGAAGGCCACTTCATTTCAGGTACTTGCATGTTATCCGCATGTCATTTTCATCGATTGTTTAATTTGATTAAATATATTATAAGGTATAATATACCTAAAACACTGTTTTTTACCTACATCTGTAATGAGATCTACATATTGTAAACCCCAATATTTTGGTAACGAGCCGTCATTAAAAAACACATTTGTTGTACAAATAGTTTTAAAATCTAATACCTACCTAATCTATTGGAATAGTTTTAAAATCTAATACCTAATCTATTGTCATCTTTAGTTACTCTACAGTAGATATTCTGACATTCAAATATTTAAAAAAGTATGCGACTGGTTCTGGCTACTCCTCCGCATAAATGGAATACTTACACTGATCAGTGAGTAGAACAAATGAAATAGGTTTCACACGCAAGGGATGAGGATTATTCATACAGAGTAGAAATAGTTAATTTTTTAAGTCCCTCTCTGCCTTATTTGGACCTTTTAAAGCCTCAATTTTTTCGTTGGCAAAAATGTTAGATAAAATCAAGTCAATATTCGTAACCCCTGTAATACGCCAATGCTCAGGCTCGAAGCATCCATTATTCTAGAATAATGCTGGATCCGAGTAATATTAGCGAGTCTTTTAGAATCAACAATTCTGGTGGAGAGGTGCGGGTACTCAGACATCGATTCTTACTGAAAGGACATCTAAAATTTTCGAGAACAAATCTGGAGTGCCAATAAGGAAAAAATAAAACAAAAATTTTAGAGTATAATATTTATTTCGCTAAAAAATCTAATAAACTCGCATTTTTAATACTCCATGTCTTAAAACATCGCCTTAGTTCCCTCCAGGATTCCCGATAAACATCGCTCAACAATTTAACAGATCCATAACTTAAATCAATGTTATCACAGTTCGACTTCAACTCGATCTTTCTTTCATTGCAAACGTTCAAGAAACTTTTAAACAGGTCCAATTTGCAAATTTTCAAACGGCCTGCCTCCGTGTTCCGCTTCTTTTTCGTAACGCCTTGACGTCTACCTTGCACGGCAACTTCGATCCTTGAAATAATTAGCAAGAAAAGAGTTCAATTTTTATTTTAAAAAGAAATTTGGATGAATTAGTTCAAATTTATTTGAATAATATCATCGTGAAGGTCTATTAAACGAGGTGTCAGTTGAACGGTTATATTTATGTTAAGTGACAAGTAATATTTATGACAATCGACGGTTTATATGCGGTTACCTGGAAATTGGCGACTCAAACGGTATATTTTTAAAGTTACCATTAAGTCGAATGTCAATCTGTCACAAAAGTGACGCAACTCTTGGCCGTGGTCCAAAAGTAACCAACAAATTGTTTTTTTTTTTTTCAGGAGCCGCTGTCAAAAAATCCTGGTTAGTTACGGTTAGTAGTCGGTTAATATCGGACCATAACTTTAAACAATAGAAATGAAATACTACAGATAGATGGCAATTGACAGATTAAACAATAGAAATAAAACGATAACAAATGACTTTGTTAAGGGTAAATTAACGAATCTTGATATTATTTAGGACCAAATGTAAATTCTGTTTTGCAGTAAATGGATGACAGTTGAAATATATTTATGAAAATTGATAAATAATACTCGTGTATATATATGACAATTGACAGTTTATATATACAAGTGGCATGTTTAATTGATGCCAATTGACAAATTTAAACTAGAAATGTCATATTATATGACAGTTATTGACAAATTAAACGATAGAAATAACGAAACGATGACAAATGCTGGATTAACTTTTATAAAAGTAAATTAACGAATCTTGATATTTTTGTTTAAAATCAAATGCGAATTCTATTTTGCAATAAATAAGATGACAGTTAAAAGGTTATATTTATAACAATTGACAGGTAATATTTATGATAACTGGCAGTTTATATTTGACAACTGACGTTCTATTTACAATTAACAGATTTAAACGAGAGAAATTACATACTAGAGTTGACAATTGACAGATTAAATAAAAGAAATAACGAAACGTTGACAAATGACGAATTAATTTTGTTTTAAGGATAAATAAACGAATTTTGATAATATTGTTTAAGGCATTTTTTACTACAAAATCTACATTTTTACCTACTTGTTTTCAGTTACTGCACTGTAAGATATACTAGACGGACAAGGTTGCTTGCTGTCAACTTTAGCATACTCAAATGCTGTGGAACTTTGATTGACATCCATTTTATGTAATCTATAAGGACCTTTAAGTGACAATACTCCCAACCTGGCGTACAAGGCTCGTTCCAAGGCTTCTTTACAGAAAGGGCTGTTGCCGGCTATAGTAAAAGAAGAAAGATATATTGGTTTGTCTAATAGGTTGGACAGAAGAGCACCCTGAACGCCTAAGTGACTCCATTTTGCTAATTTGTCGCTACAAGACACGGAAAGAGTTGGATCGCCTCTTCCTGTAGACGAAATTAAAAATGTGATACTTTAAATACATCTATATCAAAGCAAAATGACTTAGGTCTATTTGCACCACTAGTCGTTAAGAAAGAAGCCAAACTTAAAATGACATTTCTCCATTGAGAATGTCATTTTAAGCTTCTCTTATTTCTTAACTACTAGCGGTGCGAATGGCCCTTAATCGTTAGCAGATTGTAGTCCGATTATTGTTTGGTTTTATAAACTTTTGTCATCTACATTGCCAATAGTTTACCCAATATGAGAAATTAATTCTGCACAACAGATCACTATATTTTAAACCTCTTTGCTCCCGCTTCGCTTGCTTGACTTCCACCCATGTTTGTTTTTCATTTGGGCAAGATTAAAAAATATTCAATAATCGGAATACCTTTCTGAACGACTGCATCACTATATTATTATTATCATCTAAATATCTACCTGGTTTAGTTCTTACAACCCCCGTCACGTGATAGTCAACGCCAGGCAACTTTGCATCAACTTCTCCGCTCCCATCCACGCATTTAGCCCCAGTTCGAAAAATATCCTCGTCCAGCTTCACCTTTTTTGAAGGCGTTTCTTCGCAATCCTCGACGATACGTCCAAAATCGTCGGAATTCTGTTTCGAAAAAATGGCAGCATCGCCGCACGGCACATGCGAGGTGTAAAAATGGAATTGCACCTCGGAATTTATGCAGAACTTTTTACAATTTTCATCGAAACTCAATATATCTGAATCGCCGCGCATTTGAGAATAAATATACCTTAAAAATGATCGTCTGCAAATAATTTCGGCGTGAGAATCGTTTAAAACGTCGCCTCGATCGGACATTTTTGATCTACCGATACATTTGGATCCGGTACCCAAAGCTACGACTGTCAATTCGCTGTCAAATTCGCGTACAATGCAAGACAGCACCGTCCATTCTTTCTCATTCGGTTTCCCGCACTTCGGCAATGTTCTAAAACACTCCTCGCATACATGCGCTATTTGTTCGCTAAAATTTTTATTCTCCATTTTGTGCTTTTATATAAAAACTAAAAAAAAGTTAATTTATCTTAAAAACTATGTTAGTAGTGGATTGGAGGGAAGTAATTTGAGGTTAGGCGATGACGTCGGGATCCCAAGCGTATTTCACTTGCTGGAAAGTGTTCAGAGTCTTCATGTCCTCGTCCGGGATGATGAAGTCGAGGTCGATGTTGTCGTCGATGTGTTTTTTGGAACGCGCTTTTGGGATAACGGCGATGTTCTGTTGGAGGGCCCAACGGAGGAGGATCTGGAATAAAATACAGCAAAGCTACAGTTGAAATACAGAGTGTTTCTTAATTCATGCGACAAAATTCAGGAGGTGATTGCTCATATGAAATTAAGATGGGTCTTTCTTATAACAAATTTTCCCCAGCCCACCCCTTTCCTAGATATCACCCTTAAAAGGTGGTGACTAAAATAGAGTTTTTATTTTTTTCTAAAATTTCAGTAATGTACTTTGGCTACAGGTGGTCATTTCCAGCATTTATTATGAATCGTATTACATTTTACATCGTTGCTGTTTTCCACTCAATTTATTAAAAAAATTATAAATTATGGTGTTTATTTTTTTTTCTCTGTAGCTATTGGTTTTGGGAAAAAATTTAAGAATAAATTTTTTTTTTAAATAAAACAAAGATTTCGAGTTATAATTTTATTTCATAAAACTTCATCTCGAAAAAAAGTTTTGATATGAAATAAAGTAAGGGTTGCTAATTTCACCCCCCTATAATGTAACAGGAATATTGAAAAAATACCGGTGGTAATTACAAAATTTCAAGTTTCTAGCTTAACTGAAATTTTAGAAAAAAAATAAAAACTCCATTTTATTCACCACCTTTTAAGGGTAATATCTCGGAAAGGGGTGGGCTGAGGAAATTTTGTTATAGGAATGGCCCATCTTAATTTCATACGAGCAATCACCTCCTGAATTTTGTCGCATGAATTTAGAAACACCCTGTATTTTACGTAAAATATGCAGTCCCAAAAAACTTTTAAATACATATATTTTTATTGAGAATAATAAATGGGTAAATGTGTTATTTTTGCTCCGCGAAAGCGTTTTAAACTACTGTGCATGTGAAATAGTAACCAATAACATATGAACCTGATTAATGTTACGTCATTTTTTGTAAACAGCAAAATATCGGAATATTTTCCTGCTTTCCGATTATTTTAGCAAGGCTTGGAAGCAGATGGCACAATGCGAATACACGAATATTATTCCGTTTTCCGAATATTTTCGCATCGCATCCTAGAGGAGAGTGCATATCCAGCAATTTCATTGGTATAGGTATAAACAAAAACAATAAAAGCCAGTAATAAAAGATGTTTATGTATTATCAAAGTCACTCATAGTTTCACTACCCTTAATATTTACTTTAAACAAGTTACTCTGATGAAAATGACATAACTTCACACGGTTGGAATAGAACCAGCTTGTAGCATCTAGTGAGGCGAGAAGTGGCTTTTGGTGGGAGGCGCTCGACACTCTTCCTCTGCTTCAAGCGAACATGGACTATATCTCACCAAGATATATCTTCCATAAGCCACATAAGTTATAACGAGACAAATAAAAGAGCCAGAAGTGGAAGGTACGATTCATATCTACACCAACGGTTTTGAAACAAAACAAGACTCTGGATGTGGAATAAACTTCAGATCCTTAAACCTTAACATAAAATGGGCTGTGTACAATGGTGCCAGTGTAGTTCAAGCCGAACTCACGGGATTCTCGCAGCAGCAAGAGACGTTACCAAAAACAATAATATCACTGGAAGGAACATGCTCATCTATACAGATAACAGACAAGCACTAGTCAGCCTGAACAGACCATGAATTTATTCAGGGTATATACTAAAATGCCACGAAGCTTTAGCAAAATAAACTCAACACCTTAAGATAGATCAAAGGTCACACTACGTCAAAAGGTGATTCACTAGCCAAGAAGAGCAGCAAACCAAATACTTTTTGGACCTGGCCCTTCCATTGGACTGACAACATCGGTAGTGACAAACCTAATTAAAAACACTCCCTTGTGAAATTCAATAAAAGATGGGATTGCATAAGAAGCTGCAGAGTTGCCAGGGAGCTTTTAAGTTATCTCGACAACAATACACCAAACAAATACTTGACTATGACTAGACAAAACCCACGCTTGACCACAGGTATTCTGACTGGTCATTGCCAAGTATGGAAGCATCTCCATAGCATGGGGCTGTAAGAATCCGCAATTTGCAGGGGGTGCGAACAAGAAGATGAGACCATCGAGCATATCCTCTATGATTGACCGACACTCTCATTTATAAGAAGATTTGTGTTCGACGAAAAGTGCCTAACACTTCTTGGCGACGTTGTCAACTACATCAAATATGTATGCTGATTCACGAGCTAGGAGGTGCCTATCACAAGGAAGGATGCATAATGGAGCATAATGGACCTAGCGAGACATAAGTGCCACACATTACAGATACAAAGAACCATAGAGAATTAGATATTTGTTCATAGGACATTATTTGTTTGAAACTCAGGAATATATTTAAGTTTGTACAGTACGTCATGCAACACCTTGTATAGTTTTATATAGGATTCATGAATATAATCTACAAATTAGTTACATCACTAACAGTATAGGGATCTGCAAATATAAGCAGGAGAGGTTAGCCGCGGGATTAGTGTACATCCACCAAAGACATTATGTTGTAATGTCTTTGACATCCACGTACTCGCAACAGTTAAGCAGTAACATCACCGGTCACGTCGTGGTTGAGTGACCACTGGGAGATTCCATTGTGGGCCGTATCACCATGGGACTTAGGGCCATTTGCGCAGCTAGTCTTTAACAAATAAGTGCAGTTTAAAATAACATTTGCAATGGAAAAATGTTATTTAAAATTTAGCTTATTTCTTAATGACTAGCGGTGCACATGGACCATAACTGAATAGCCTTTAACTATCGACGACGTGGATTGAATGACGATGAATGAGGGAATGAATTGGTGAATGGTAGAGTAGTCGGACCTTCAAATGGAGGTACAATAAGCTGCAGGCCGCAGTGCCGCCAGGCTACAGACGGATTATGATAGCACAAGCGGTCCAAAGGGTGTAAAATTCAAAAAAAATAATTCTTTTAAATAGTGATATAATTATTTTTTTCTAATTTCTATAGCATTTAGCATTTATGACATATATTTAAGATTGTGAATCTACATGAAAATATATGTTTGCCTTATAAACAATGGTCCAAAAATGTTTCATTACGAAAATAAGGGGTGTCAAAGTTTTAGGAAAAAAAAATAAATTAATTAATATTTTCTAAACCACTGGCTATATGTCAGTGATATTTAGTAAGCAGCGACAGTTAATAAAGGTGCACATTTGTCAATACAAAGTGGCGTGTGTCCAGGCACCGACTTCAATAGTTTTGAAGAAAAAAAATTAAAATTATTTTTGAATTCCCCGTTCAATTTGAAACATAAGAGCTCTGTTGAGTTGGGTTCTTGCGATGCGACGTAAAAAATATAAAAATTATTTTATTGTCCGAGAAAATTAATCTAATAATTATTGAGGAATGCAAAAAAAATAAGTTTGGACCATAGTTTGTAAAGCAAATTATCATTAATTTTTCATATAGATTCACAAACTTAAATATTCGCATATCAATAAGGAACACTCAAGCAACCTTTTTCTATTAAACTAGTTTTATCAACCATCAATATAAAACCTGTTTTAAATGCAGTATGTTGCTCATATTGACTCCTGTGTTTTGTGTTATTTTATTTTACCATTTCAGAATGGCATTATACCAAGTAATAATTCATTGACTGGACTTTACCACAATTTACAAAATAAATATGACCTAAAGTATATTCTCACTTATAGACTGAACCAAGATGTTCTTGAAAAAAAATTATTTTTTTTCACATATTCACTATTTTCAATGAACAGAAATACTGAGGACACAATCGAAACTTGCCTACTCGAGCCATTGCAAAAAAGATGACATTGCAGACCATACGGAATTTGACTCTAAAATCTGTTTAACCCAACAGTTGTTTGAAAAAGTTCTTTCAGATGGTAATTTTGTAGAAACATGGAATCTTTTTAGTGAAGAAATGTTTTCTGACCATACTATCCAGAGTCCAGATTATGAAACAGACATTTTTTTTCTGAAGATCATGACAATCTTTTAAGGCAGTTAGAAAAACAAAATGCCCGACACCATTTTCAAAGAAGGTCTAAAATTTATTGCTGGATATGTAGCTTATAGATTTAAAAGCGAATATTCAAATTTAAAGTTGGATATACAGACAAATTTTTGTCAAACAACCCATGTCCGATTGGATGGAGTTTATATCTAGAGGCAACTTTATATATCCAAGTGAAGAAATGTTAGAACTAGCCCATATAGTCGAAACCGAATTTAATCGATTTCATAATAACTTCTTTTCGAAAAAATTAAATATTTTTTAAAAATTATTAGATAAAATTAGAGCAGGTTCTGTAAAAGCAACAGAACAATTTCCAAATAAAATTATATTGTGTTTAATAAGAACCAGAACCTATATCAGATTGAGACATTTGAATAACAAAGTTAGCTTTGAAAATTGTAGGTGAAATCTGCCAAATATGTAAAAATTTACAAATAATTAATAAGTTAGTTCTGTTATTAGTTTTTATTTATAATTTTGTATTTTATGTTTATTATGTTTCGTTTATTTATTTGTATTTTGAAAAACCTACAACCGTAGCAAGTTATAAAGGCAATTTCTTGATATATGTAATCCAAATTGCGGATTTTTCACATTAAATCATGTTAAGTATCATTTTCTTTTCTTTTTCTGACTTATATATGCTGGGGTGAGACCATATATGTACAGCAATTCGCTGTATTGTACATACAAGTTTACAAAATCTGTTCAGCATTTGATCTTGTACAGCTAAACACTGTATTTGTCCAGGAGAAACGCCATTATTGTCCAGCAATGTAATACATTATTTACTGAAACGTAAAAAATAAGGCAAAAACGTAATACATGACTCTCTCCATCTCTCTGTACATACCATGACTTTGAACAACGATAACGACTGCAGAATGTCCTTTGTATTTTTTAAACTTTTGTGACCACCTAAGCAGCTTTTGATTGCAAACGCCTATCACCATTTTAATATAATAATTGTTTATATTATTATATTACAATAAAATTTGACACTTGTTGTCTAACTATATAATTGGATTTTCCCTCTGGTACAGAAGCGTCATCTTAATTTTACACCTTTTGAGGGACACTTTTTGTATACAGAGATAGTTCTCCTTATCTCTACACTCCATAACAGCTTTCTAATACCCAAATCATTTTACAATATTTACTTTACGTTGTCTAGTTTTGTAAAGAACAGTTGACTTAATTTAAATCTCTATCTGATCAAACCAGTAGCAAGTCTAATAGTAACGTTTTGTAAAAAAAATAACAAAAGCAAGAATAAGAATGAACTGCGATTTTCTTGTACTATTGCATGCAATTTCGACAGAAAGTCGTTGCTGACGTCACAGTCCGGCGGCTACCTGCGCGCGAGCACACCATCCTATATTCACACCACGTTCTGAACTAAGTGTTGAGCAAACTATAAATGATCTTGGTGTTATTTTTGACAGGGACCTATCGTTTATTCTTCATTTGGAAGAAATTGTAAATAGAGCTTTTCGACTACTGGGCTTTGTCAAAAGGAACACCAAGCACATTTATGACATGGCAGCTCTAAACTCTCTACAACTGCTTAGTTAGAAGCATTTTAGAATATTGCTCAGTGATTTGGGCACCTAACTACAATTGTTATATTGATAAATTAGAAAGATTATCTACGTATCTAACTAGTATCTACTATATAAACATAGGCTTCCAGCGCAAAATATAGATTACCAAACCAGAATTCTGTTTTGTGGACTTGAGAGTTTGAGAAGCATCGCTTGTTTTCCTGTATAAGCTATTGAACGATTTGATTGATAGTCACAGCCTGGTATATTTTATTAGATTCCTTGTTCCTGTCAGACTTACTAGGCAGATTAAACTATTTTATGTAAATACTCATAGAACTAACTATGGACAGAATTTATTTGTAGACCGACTGATGTCCAATTACAATAAGTATTTTTCAAATTATGACATTTTTAATACATGTTTGTTTTCTTTAAAGCATCAACTTTCATTACACTATTGACTTCATTTTTGTACTATGACAATTTTATTAATTTCTTTTTTTATTTTATTTTAATTGATATTTTAAATGTACCATTTAGAACTTTATGTATCTGTAGCCTACTGTAAACAAATAAATAAATAAAAAAATTATATTTTTTGCAGAAAAGAGAAATAAAGACTCTCATGAATCGGCTGCCTGCCATGGTATTTTGTTACCTTATTACCAATAAAAAAATATTAATAAAGAATATCTATTAAAAAATAGATTGCACTTACCTGTGCCGAACTCTTCCCTAATTTAGCAGCAATCTCTGTCACCTTAGGATTGTTCAATAAATCCGGATTATTAGAACCACCTAAGGACGAATAAGCTTGCAAAAGAATACCTTCTTTTCTTAAAAGATCCAATAGTTCTGGTTGATGATAAGCAGGATGCCATTCAACCTAAAAAAATATCATAAAATATTAACATTTTTCCTTAACACGTTGACTGCCAACTACAAGTTAACTCATAGTTTGTATTCTGGGCAAGGACATCGACTATGAGTTATCTCGTAGTTTATTTACTTGCTATTCATGCAGCTACAATTAAATTTGTAGTATCAGTGTAAAGAAGAATAAATACGTCCTGGAAAGAGGATAACAAATTGAAGCTAGTTTATATGGACAAAAATATACTAATACATAAACAAAAAATATAATATAATCATACATTTATTCAAAATCAAGAAACAAATGGATATTTTTGTTTGTGATTTACTACTAATGAATTAAGAAGTATAGTGAAGCGACATCAAGTAGAAACATATCTGGGTACGAATTAACTTTCTGTTACAAAAGCCAACTACAAGATAATTTGCAAGATCTTAAAAAACATATTCTCTACTCTTTTAGATAATTACTAAGTACTATAATTAAATTAAATTGGCTTTTTAGACCGGGATCCTAAACATTACAGTGGCAGTCAACATGTTAATTAATTTCGGTTTTATTTACCTGATTTACTGCAGGTTTTACTCCATGATCGTTCTTCAACAATTCTGTCATATGTTTAACATTATAATTAGAAACACCGATGTTTCTAGTTAAACCGTCTTTGGCAGCTCGTGCAAGTTGTTGCCAGCTTTCACCTCGAAGTAGAGAATTGTTTCTTTCTTCGCTTCTTATCCCTTGTACACCTGGCCAGTGGATGAGATACAAATCTAGGTAATCACAGTCTAGGTTACGAAGGGATCTTTCTAAAGCTACGTAAGCCTTCGTCCCTTGGTCAGTAGGAGCTAGAAAATGAAAAATAACTTGCAAGTTCTAAATTTGATTGAAATATTTTAGGAAATATAAAATAAAGTATTAAAAACTTACCTAATTTCGAAGTAATAAATATATCTTTCCTCGTTAAATTGTATTTTGGCAAAAGTTCTTTTAAGGCAAGCCCTATGGATACTTCATTACCGTAAACAGTAGCACTATCTAAAAGGTTTAAATAATTCTAAATTAATTTAGTAATAAATTAGGTAATAATTAGCTTACCTATTAGTCTGTAACCAGCAGCTAAAGCTAAATCCAATACATCCTTTATAAGTTCGTCTCCATGTATCTGGTAAGTTCCAACTGAAAGTGAGGTTATGTTAATGATAAATTTTTAATTATACTTGATAATCTACTTTTTTAATTATTAAATGGTCTTACATCCGATTAAAGGCATTAAATCTCCACTGTGTAGTTTAAAATTCATGTCTTTTGCTAATTCAGTAGCTTCTTGATCGCTACAAACAACTGCCTGAAAGTTCATCAACACGAACAATAGGTGGCCCAAAAAAGTAAACCAGGAGAACTTCATTTTTGCGGTGAATTTATTCTTATTATGGGAAATACCAATCCAATCACCAGCAGTTAGCAAATTAAAAAATCTTATAAATCGAGATTGAATATATAGAAATTCCAAGGTAAGCTAGTTAAAGGATTTACATAAAGTTGCATAATTTTTTATTGTTTGAATTGAATGGAAAATAGCATCAGGTGCTATAATTTAATAAATGTTAATAATTACACAGTTGTTAGTTCTATTGCCACAATAATATAGATTTAAATTAAAAGAGGTTTGTTTATCGTTTATTAAAAATATATCGAAACTCGAATATACAGGGTGGTTCAGAATAATTACATTGTCACTTGTAGTTCCCAACGGGGGCGATACCGTTCACCGGAGTGCGATGAAGGGAGCTAAGGGTCCATTATTGATCAAAGGCAAATTTAGAGGAGCGTTGAGGAACAACACCCCAGACAACACACCAAATCCCAGAGATATCCGCAGAATACCTTTTGTGGATATCCAATATATCATCCTCAGGATATCAGAAATATTCCGTGGATCTAATATGGATATTCAAATGTCCGTCTATATCCAGGATATAGAAGATATCCTAATGGATATTCAGCAAAATATCTAATGGGTATCTTCCAGAAAATACAAGAAATAACAGAGATATCCACAGAATATATTTTGTGGATATTCAATATATCCAATACGGATATCCAACCAAATGTCCGTCTATATCCCAGGATATAGAAGATATTCGGATATTCAGCAAAATATTTTATGGGTATCTTTAGTAGAGGTTCATAAGTAAACAATGATTATTGAATAACGTCGAAAGAAAATAGCAGAGATAAAAAATATTTTCAACACTCAAAATATTTTCAACACTCTGCCTTTGATTTTGCCCACTAAGGAGAAAGTCATCCTTATTAGGACTCTTCGGCAATAAATGAAAATTCTCGACTCCAGTCTCTAATGGAGTGATTAGGACACACATTTCGATCGAATTCAATTACGGCGGGTCGAGCATGAGTAGATGTAAATAACATCTAGTGGATATCCACGATGGTTTGCGTTCGCGCCTAGACTTTGATATATTTAGTGGATGTTCATGGGATATTGAATAAACCTTAAAAAAATTAATTTTAAATATCTGAACGGTACTATTAGCCACAATGGCGAGCACAATGGCGTAATTTTTTAATAATTTGCTATATAATTACTATTATTTATGGACATTTGCATGTCTATAAATTACATTTCATGGATATAAAATAGATATCTACCATGGACTGGACATTCAGTGGATATTGGGATGTTCAGTAGATATCCAAAGACTTTGGTGTGCTGTCTGGGCAGTCGCCCCCTGGAAAATACTCAAAAGTATTCGATGGAAAGTTTTTTTCGAAATAGGCGGTAGGCCAAAAAAGGTTGGAAACCTATGTACTAATCTATAGTATATAAATTGAGGTTGCCATTAAATGTCGTTTTGCAGCAAACATGAAATGTGACCCTTTCAAAAGTCAGAATGACAAACAAACATGGTTTTGTTTACTTGTTTGATATTTGTATACTATAAAAGCCAAATGCCAAAAAACAATTGCCAAGGTCAGATTTAACATTTTTATTCATGAAATGGGTCGTATATCTCTACAAATACTGCTCTGCTTTAAAATGAAAACTGGACGAAATGTGGGATAAATTACAATACGAAAGAAACATCCACTTTACTAACAACCCAGGCAGCAGACTGACGACATTTTGACATTTTTTGGTAATGCTTGGTCATCGACGTCATGTTACCAAAAAATGAGGTGATTATGACGTCACTTCTTTATCGTCTTTTTGACGTCATAAATTCGACGTCAGTGTGACGTCAATTTATTGTCACTATCAAATTAAAGTTTATATTAAACGTGATTTCAATACATTTTATTTATGTAAAACAATATGGCCTAAACAATTATTTTTTGAAATTCTTATGTCTATTAACGTTTAAATCTGGCGCTTAAATGCATAAAGATTGTATGACACCACGTGACACATGACTGCGTCTGTCCGTGGTTATCGGTCTGTGGAGTATGGCTCGTGTATGTTCGAGCCGTTCGAGCAAGCACCAGAACGGTATCGCAGTTTGTTGCATCGGCCATGTTTAATGGTGTGTCCAACGTGGATCGTGGCCCGTGTGCATTCAGGATTATTGTTAAAAGTTAAGAGAAGGTCAAGAGAAAAAAGTTATATCAGTATCAACCCAGCATAAGGCATCAAAATATATTATCCTTATTCTTTAATGATTTTATATCTTTTACATTCATAGGATGTTTCCTAAAATGTTCCCAGGTTCGTGAAATAGTATAAAATTGCAGCACTTATAGAAAAATCATTGTGACAAACCAAAATAATAACGAACAAGTTGGCCACATTTGGAGCAGTTGGATTTATATAAATTAATGTTTTTTGCCAATAACATTTCATGTATTTAAACTGTTTTTTATTTTTAATTATAATTATTTCATTTTCTAATTTTGTTTTTTTAAGTGACCCACAGTTCCTATAGAAAGGTTACAAAGGAGTAACAATATCAAATGTAACGTCATGGTGACGTCTCAAATAACTATAAAGAATAACGACAAAGGTGACATTAAAACAACATTATAAAAACGTCATAATGACGTTATAAATACTACTAGGAAACGTCATATTCACGGCATATTTAGACGTCAAAAGGGCGTCTAAATATGACGTCATTTGGGCTATGACATATTCACGTCATTTTACAGTCATTATCACGTTAGTTTTCAGAGGATAAATGACGTCCTGTATGACGAAAATAAGATGTCATAATGACGTCAGTCTGCTGCCTAAGAACTGACAATTCAAGATAAGCGATAAATATACAGTATGTTCGCTATACTTACGCGGGTTTCGGATTAACAAAATTATGCAAATTAATCATTGACAACCAGTTCCAATAAGCATCTTCCCAAGAAATTAGGTAAAATTGTCCTAATGGTCAGATTTTAATTAAAATAACATTAGGGTAGGTACTAAATTTGCATAATTTGCATAATTTTGTTAATCCGAAACCCGCGTAAGTATAGCGAACAGACTATACATGCCCTCTGGTGGGACATTTTACAAATACTTGTACATCGTGAATTATAGGTAGTCATTCATTGTTACTGTAAGGTTTGCTAGAGTAACGAAAGGAAAAAGCAGGACAACGGTGACGACAGGGGATCAGGTTCGAATACCAAGCATTTTTATCCAGGTCATTTCTTTGTGTTTGTGCAATTTCTAAACAAAAAGTCCGGACCTATTTTTCGTAAACCTCAGCGCTTTTAACCATTCTGTTATATTAAATACCTACATCAATAATAGCTGTTTCTTTTATTCTTGTTTTTTCTTTTTTTTATTATATGTATGAGGAACAATAATTATGTTATGTTGTTTTATGTTTATTTTGATTTTGAATTAATTATGAAGTTCATGTTTATATTGAATTGTTGGTTTATTTTGAATTATTGTATATTATTTTTGATAAATAAGTTACTTATTATTATATTTTTATAAACGTACAGGCTAGCCGACCGGTAGTTGAATTTAATAAAACGAAAACCGTCTTTCGGCGGCATGGTCTTCCTCACATATAAGAAAGCCGCCGAAAATTTAAATTGATTTGTTGATGAGGGCGGCAGGCTATCAGAGTATTGATAAGGCCGCCGGACGACGGTCTACTGTATTTGAAACATTAAATGCCGCCGGAAAAAACTCGCGTATCGATGACGACACTAATCATTTGTAATTGCTGTGGTGAGAGGTGTTTGTGTGAATACGTCTTATTTGTTTTCATTTACGCCGTAATATTTTATAAACCTTAGAAGCAAATTTCCCATAAATGATCAAATAATAATGCCGTGACAACAAGAAGACGAAGTAACGACTTCTTGTAGGGTGGCGGCTTCGCCGCCACCATTAAATTTCAATCCATACCTGGCTACGCCGACCGGCATAAACACCAACGGCCTGGACACAGTCATCTACTCTGTCAAAAAGAGACCGATGTAAAAATAAAACGCGTACAACATATGATTATTTACCACAAAAATGTAGACGATTTTTCGTACCACCGGCATTCAATGTTTTAAATACAGTAAATCGTGTCCGGCGGCAGTTTTCAATTCACTGATTGCATGCCGACCTGGGGTGAGATTACAGAACGTCTGCAACTTTGCAGATCTGCAAATATGAAGACCATGCCGCCGGAAGACGGTTTTCTTTTCAACAAATGCAAGCACTGCCGGCGGTCGGTTAGCCAGTATGTTTTATAAACCAAGTTCTCCTTTTTCTGACTAGCCTCTAAAAAAATGGTCATGTCTCTTCAAAACATTCTTTATTTACAGCTTTAAATATTAAAAAACGTGGCATTTTCGTCAAAAGCGGTACATTTTTGTACTTTTTGGCGTGACGCGTACAAGCAAGTAAAAAGCGTGATAATTACGCCTAAATCTGGCAACTGTTTAAAAGTTTTTTTTAATATTTGTGAGCATTAAATTTGTTTATTTGTTACAATTTATAGGTAGGTATCATCGACTTGAGAAGAAATAATTAATTTTCAAAATAGAATTTGCTAAAATCGCCATTTCTATTGTATTGATATCATCATTATAATTGGAGGTAGACAGTTATTGGGCCATTATTTCCCCAGGCCAAAACACGTGTGTCGAAATCAAAGTTGAAATAGTAATCATTCAAATTAAACGGGTATAATTTTCTGTCAATGTTGACTTATGAACAATTTGAAATACTAACATAAAAATGTGATGTGTCCAACACATGACTTTCCTATTTAGCATCTTATACGTTTTTTTCGGTTATTTTGTACAACCTATTTTAGCACCTCTGTAACTCTTTAGAGGATAAACTAAATATATTCATTTTCCACATACATCCTAACATCGAAACGAGTTTCTATATAGGTATTATGTATATTCATTGCAAACGAAAATACTGAAAAATTTAAATTTTACACTTTTCGTCCAATTTTTCCATTACGGTCCATTTTAGAGAAATCATGTAAAAAACAAAAAATATAGAAATCGATATCGCATACCACTTTCAGTTTAACAATTTTCTTAAAGATCAGAAATTGCACATTTTGTCAAATTTCTCTAATACGGACCATTTTAGGAAAATCTTGTAAGGGGCAAGAATAATAGAGAAGTAACTTTTATTTGAAGATTTTTCTTCTCCAAACATAAATAACAAATACAGGGTGGGCCAACGAAAACTTTACACCCCGATTTTCCGGCTTTAAAACGAAAATCGGGAAAAAGCTCGAACCCGTCGATTTTTGACTCGAGGTGGAACAACTTGTCTGGTTTTTCATCCATGTAACTTCAACCATCTAACAGGGGGAAGCACAACCCCCTGTTTTTGAATAGGGGTGAGGGATGTTGCAATACCTCATTTTGAAGATCTCATCGAGTACTGTTTTACCTAAAACTTCGCGTTAAAATTTTTATCGATAACCGATAAAACAGTGAAAGAGACAATGTGGAAAAAATGTCTAATTAAATACTTACTTCTGTGATTAGTTTAATAAATGCTGGAAAGGGACACCATTCACTTTATGGCAGTAAAATAAGTTTTGTTTACCTTAAGGATAATTATTCTTATCAGACTGGTATTTGAGAAGTATTTATTTATATGTATATTTTTTGTTTTATGGATTAATCGATTTACCTCAGTTCATCGTAAATTTTTAAGAACCTTGCCACCGTGTCTACTCGATTGATATTTTTTTAGTAGAATTAAAATGGTGTATTCCGTGGGGGAAAGGGTGAAAATTATTAAATTGTTTATTAGAAATAACGACTCTGCGCAAGTAACAGCGACTTTATATTACGAACGTCATCCTGAAAAAATGTCTCCGCTGCTTACGTTTTGCCAACTGGTTTCCAAATTGGATGCCACTGATTAAGTCGCAGTGCATAAAAGAGACGAAGGGAGGGAAGTGGCTGTTTTAGGTCATGTAGCAATGAATTCGAACCTTAGTACTAGGAAATTGTCCGACGTATCTGGGCACCTATCCTCGACTAGTGCGTTTAACCGCTCGCTTTGAAGAGATGCGAGTGGTTCAATGCGAAGACGCATTAGAAACCGTATTCTTAACCCTTCGTATCTGTGCCTTCGTAATCCTCTTTTATAAATGCGAATGGAAACTTTGCAACCATGTATGATCGACGATTATTTATGTTAAATTGTCTGCTAGAAAGGGGACTCAAAGTTCACACCGCTTGTTTTGTGAAAATTATTCGCAAAAAAGAAGCAATATTAATATGAGTAATGGTTTTGAGCATGAAGTCGTGGTTTTGGGTTGTTTTTTGATGTACTGTTTGGCTATACATAATTTGCAGCGTTATAAAATGGAAAATATTAGTAAAAAGACACATATAATTAACCGAAACAATCTGATAAACGCTTGATCAGAAAGTCTGAAAGGAGCTTTCCTATCATCATAAACTCTTCGAGGATGATTATTTGCCTCTTCTAATTTTTAATAAAATATTTAAAAAAATTATATTTGCCATCATACCTATAGGTCACGATCAATTTATGAAACAAAAACACTACAATATTAAAACGTGCATCCAGTTAGACCTTCGCAAGCTCTTTGGACCTTCGCATTTGAATTCGAAGAGCAAAAACCAACTCGCCGTCAAATGCGCACCCGCAATATAAATTCGAACGACCAAGAATAGCTACAACACTCTTTTGAGCAAATACGCATTCGCATTTAGTAAATGCGCATTCGCATTGATTAAAGCACCAGTCGAGGATAGGTGCCCTGGTGTATCACTCACGACAATCAGGAGAATCCTTAAACGACATAAGTTTTATCCTTTTAAGATACGATTGGTTCAGGAACTGAATGAGAATGATTTCGATCGCCGACTCTAGTTCTGTGAAGTGGTCAGTGAAAATATTAACAACAATAATCAAAATTACAATTTCGATATGTTTTTCGGATAAGTGTTCATTTTACCTCATTTGTAAATAGGCATAACTGTCGGTATTGGTCAGATGAAAATCCAAGAGTATTTCATGAAGTACATACAGCAAATCCCCAAAAACTAAATGTTTGGGCGGGTATTAATGGAAATCACATAATCGATCCCTTTTTTATACCCGGGTAATCTCAATGGCGAAGTGTATCTGGAATTATTAGAGAACGCTATTTATCCAGCCCTCGTGCAAGTATTGGAGCATTAAGAAGACCATCATACCATCATTTTTCAATAAGATGGCGCACCACCTCATTCATTTCGTACAACCTGTCCGTCATTTTTTGGATGAGAATTTTCCTCAAAGCTGGATTGGAAGAAGTGGTCACCTGATCTGAATCCACTGGACTTTTTTCTATGGGTAACTTTTATTTAAAGAATTTTCTTCTCCAAACGTAAATAACATATTCCATTATATATGAAAGACCCCTATAAAGTAACCCTCAGATGTTCCGACTCTGCCCAAAATCTAATCAGTTCACCACAGGCCGGAATAAAGCTTAAGGTTAAAATTTGGTGTTTTTGTTTATATCTGTTCATGAGTTATCGAAGATACAGACACATACAGACACACACAGTGACACACACACACACAGTGACACACACACACAGTGACACACACACACACACACACACACACGCACGCACGCACCCACACACACACACACACGCACACGCACACGCACACACGCACCCTTTCGAAAAATTTAAATGGCATGTGGTGGTGAGTGACAGCTCATTTGAAAGGGGGTTTTATTCTCTATTCAACCGTGCAAAAAATTTTGAAATTTGCTTCATTACGTGTTGATTTATTAATGTTTAAAAATAACAAAACCTCATAAAATAGGAAAGCAACTAGACTAACAGTGACCTTCTAATGGCAAAAAGTCTTACTTCACGTCTGAACCAAAACCGAAATCATGCAGGGCCGAATTTTAATTCTAAGGATGAGTGCGCTACGTTAATTTCCGTTATTCTGAAACAACAATTAGTCGAGAATTAATGAAGCAAATTTCAAATTTTTTTACAGGGTTGAATAGAGAATAAAACTCTCTTTCAAATGAGCTATCAGTCACCACCCCATGCCATTTAAAATGTACATTGTAGAAATCAAAAATCGACGTGTCTCGGCGATTTTCCTAACAAGACTCCAGTAACGAGTTAGATAGGGGGGTAAGACTTATGGTGCTCACTGTATATGCTGCCACTGTTCTAAACGTTTAGTATCCTATATAAAACATTTACAATGACACAATTGGGGTCAAAAAAAAAATAACAGTAGCAACTCTTTATCTAACATTAAAACTCTATAAAAAATAAATTTTCTTTTCTAGTAAGTTAAATTTAATGCATAATTATTGTTGTTTGTAAGTCAGCACTGTACAATTTTATATTATAGAAACTTATAATAAAATAAATATAGTTTTAAAAAACTAAAAAACACGCTTTTAGAGCATATCAAACTAAGAAGTTAAAAACAATTTTTCAAATAAGCTTAAAACAATAATAAATGGAAAATACTAGTATTATTGTGAAAAAAGCGTCTGGCGCTCGATGTACGAGAAATATGGACAAAGCGCCCCACGCTTTTTTCACCATAATACTAGTATTTTCCATTTATTATTGTTTTAAGCTTATTTGAAAAATTATTTTTAACTTTTTAGTTTGATATGCTCTAAAAGCGTGTTTTTTAGTTTTTTAAACTTTATTTATTTTTCACTTTTTAGTTCGATGTATTATGAAAGCGTGTTTTTTTAGTTTTTTTTTAAACTATATTTATTTTTTACTTTTTAGTTCGATTAATTATTAAAAAAAAATTTCTGAAAAAAAATATTTTTTTTCAGCCGTGGGGATTAGAACCCACGATCGGTGAGTCTGTCAATCAAAAACCCGCGCGTTAGACCTCTCGGCCACGAACGAATTTGACATATTTGGATATACTGACAGTAATAAGCCACTTTCCAAAGGAGAGTTTTACAATCTGAAACGACGTAAATCTTGCTTTGATGTTTTTTTGTCACTCATGTTACTTGTACTCAGGTACTTTTTTTAACAATATTTTGATTCTTTTCATCAATTTTTTAAAAAATCACTTTATTTTACATTGACTTACATATAAAATTGACTGCGTTGTCATTAGACATGCCAACTACAGTCAATTTCGCGATCTTTATAAAAAGGACGGAAATTTGAAATTTGACCATTGCCGATTCGCCTCCTTACCTCTAAGTCTTCATACTTCGGGAACAAACCTTATAAATACCTACCGAGATTCGATGACAAGGGATAATCGTCGTAGCTAATTGTAGTATTTACTGTAAAAATTGGACAAAAACATTTTCAGAATCAAAATTTATTTAATAAATAAATCTAATAGAAAAAAATACAATAATTTTCTTCTGTTTTACGCACTTTCTTCGTTTACAGTAACCTCAACCCCACATTATCTTATTGAATATTTCCGGAATTCCAGCTATTATGCTTTTGCTCAAAACTAAGTAAAGCCCTCATATCTTCTTCTGGAATAATAAAATCTAGATCCATGTTCTGTTTAATCCGATCTTCCGAGCTGGCTTTAGGTATTATTCCAATTTTTTGTTGTAATGCCCATCGCAGAAGAATCTGAAATAAAAACAAACTACTTAAATAGTTAAAAAAACAGTTACTACTTCAAATCAATTATGACGACTTTATTTTCATATTTTAATTTATGTATTTATGTACCTAATTGTATTTCGAAGAATTAACTCATGTGATTATATAACGCTATAATTATAATAATAAAAACTAGTAATCAATAACTTATACTTAACAAACATTATCAAAAGGACCAGTTCTATTTATATCGCGCAAGTATTAAATAAAATTATTAATTAAAAAAATAATGATAATAATACCTGAGCAGGTGTTTTCTTAAGTTTTTCAGCAATTTTAACAACCTCTGGACGTTTTAATAATACATTCGCTCTTCCTGTACCTCCTAGAGAACCATACGCTTGCAACAAAATTCCTTCTTGCTTACACAATTCTAACAGACCTGCTGGATGGTAACCAGGATGCCATTCAAGCTAAAAAGATGAAAAACGTTGAAAAAACTGGAAATTAATATTTCAATTTTTTGACAATAGTTAAAATAGTATAAAAAATGTAGGTAGGTACACATTGGTATCTTAATCTTCGGTCTTCTGCTTTACCTAATTTTTGGTTGGTAATCACAACCATTGTCCTCTGAATCCAATAAAAATCATACCGCTTTAAAACCTACACTATGGTCCATTTAACCTGAAAGAATATGCGATAAATTTTATTTTTCTCAGACATGGGCTCTAATTCCTCTACAACTCTATTTCATCGAATTCTATTTCATCTACTGAGTCCTTAATGTCATCATCTGACGAAGCTGTATTTATCATGAATTTGAATTTATCGAACGTATCGTCTAACAAATAGTGTTCTGTTTGGAATTTCTTGATATGTGTATTTCTCCTATTTTTTCCTGCGTTACCACTTCAAATTTTTACCTTAATAGAACCTATATGTAAAAAAGTCTGAATGTAACAATATTCAGTTTTTAACTAACGCCCACATTCTGTTTAATTCAGTTCTTAACGAAGGTTCACATTTTTTTGAAAGGGATTTAGATCGACGTGGTATGGTAAAAGTCTCGTTGGCCCATAATATTCTCTTGTTTTTATACTGGTGGAAATTGGGACTTATTCTGAACAATCTTTTACAATTCGGATTTTGTTAATTTTTCCACGAAATAGATGTTTACTTAGCCAGTTGATTATTTTCGACTTTAATGAAGCTATTGTAAAATTTTTATCACGGTAATATTGGGATAAATAGGCATTATTCACAACAAGATGAGAACTTTCAAACAAATTTAGAATCAGCTGGCTTTACACCTAATGAAGTGTACATAGTTTTTGACCTAATTTTAAAACTCATCATTATTATAGTTGTTTAATAGACTATTTTCAACTTCTCTTGACATAAATTGTGTCACATTGTGTATATGAACCTTGACCAATTCGTTTGGGAACATTTTTGCAAAATTGGTAAGTAAATTAACTAGGTCTAGGTAAATCTGTTAAAAAGTATTATTATTTTAGAAGCGACTTCCATTTAGTAAAACCTAACTACACTGTCAAAATTATTCCTTTTTTAGTGGCTATAGAGCAAACTTTAGAGGCAGAGGAAGGTACCAACCTGGAAAATATAACAGTCACCCAAAAGGAAATTCAGTGGAAGTAAAAAGGTATGAAAATAATGATCAAAACTGATTCCATGCAACTGTAATGACATCCCAAACAGAAGAAGTTGATGTAAACGAAAAAAAAATAACCTGCCTCTTAGATAGCGGATGTAGTGATCACATTGTAACCAATGGAAAATATTTTTCAGAATTATAAAAGTTAGATAAATCGATAAATATTAAGGTAGGTGATGGTCATCTAATTAAAGCTATAGGAACAATAATTGTAAATTTTAATGTAGGGAAACAATAAATCAAAGTTCTATAAAAACTGCTACTGTGCTCCTGACATGGCAAAAAACTTATTAAGCATGTCGAAAATTACTGACAATAAAAACAAAATTTAGGCCCAGGAAAATTATTTTGAAATTTAAAAAAAAGGATGGAACCATTACTATAACTCAGAAAAAACAAAATTTATATGAATTAACAGGCAATATAATGTTTGGTATAGAGTCAAATAATTCCAGTATTGAAAGTGAAAAAGAAAAAATGGCACAAAAATTAGGTCATGTAAATTTTCAAAATTTAATAAAATTTGTTAAAATCAAGTGTGTGAAGGTTTACCAAATTCTATTGAAATAGTAGTTTGTGTAACAAGAGTGAATATGATGGCCATATCGCACGAAGACGAAATTTGAGCACAACGCCGTCGGCGGAGTGCTCAATCGTCTGAGTGCGATGTAGACAATTCACTCGAGTTGTACAGTATATTTTTTCTACGACCCACTAACGAAAATTTACAAATAAAAAAAAAATATTTTAGGTTATTAAGACAAAATAACTAATTTTAAAATAATTTATGACTTTTAATAATTTTTAAAATAAAATAAACCAAAAAAAAAAGAAGAAAAGTTTATTTCATTTTTCCTTGTCCGAGAATCGAACTCGAGTTTTCCCGTGTAGAAAGCGAGAACGCTACCACAAGACCACCTATTCCTTTTGTTGCTCCAATACTCGTAATTAAATTGACTTCATATAGTTTTATTTAAATTAACTAATTATTTATAATTATAGACGAAATAAAAACAGAAATGCTATTATTTATCGATTCTACACAAGAATAACCCATTTTAATGTGTTTAATCTCGATAACTAAACAATATACTGACAATTAGTTTAAAAATCTGATGTGTCCAACACATGACTTTCCTATCTAGTTATTACGGGCCGTTTTCGGTTATTTTGTACACCTCTGTAAATATTTAGAGGTTAACTTAATATATACATTTTCCACATACATCTAACTCAAAAATTCTGAAAAATTTAAATTTTATAATTTTCCATTTTTCCATTATGGTCCATTTTAGAGAAATCATGTAAAAAAACAGAATTATAGAGATTGATATGGCAAACATCTTTTAATTCAACAATTTTCTTAAAAATCATAATTTTTTTCCATTTTGTCAAATTTCTCGAATACGGACCATTTTAGAAAAATTTTGTATGGAACAAAAATTATAGATAATAATATTGTAAGTAACTTTTAGTTAAAGAATTTTCTTCTTCAAACGTAAATAACGGATATATTCCATAAAATATAAAAATGACCACCAATAAAGTACCCCCCAAATGTTCCGACTCTGCCCAAAATCTAATCAGTTCACCGCAAGCCGGAATAAAGCTTAAGTTTAAAATTTGGTGTTTTTCTTTGCGCGCGCGCACACACACACACACATAACATCAATGTTCTATGAATATACTAAGAATGTTCTGGCTATGTTCTTTTTAGTATATGCTTTCTAGAATGTTCTTAGAACATACCTAGTATATACTTTGAAAGTATATTCTAGAAAGTATATACTGAGTACGTTCTATGAAAGTATTTTCTAAAAAGTATATACTGAGTATGTGCCTTAAAAGTATATTCAAAAAAGTATATACTCAGCACGTGCTATAACAGGACAGTCTTAGAAGATACCAAAATTCATATACCCAGCATGTTCCTCATATTCTGAGAATGTTCTAAATGCTTGCAGGTAAAAATTAACACCAAATACATGTAAAAACACGTTTATATACACATCTATATACATTTTTCGCAGATGTTGATCTGATAATTCGTTAGCAAACGCACTAACGTTAAGGGTTTAGACCAACAAACATTTGCCACTTTAACAGAAGAGAAGAATAACATAACCAACAATTCCTACAAATTTTTTAGATCACGTTTCAGTTTGTAATAGGTAAGTAAATTATTAAAAATTAATTTCATCGTGTGTTCTATATAAAAATAAACAAATTTTACTATATTTGTAGTTTTTAGGACTTATAATTGATGTTAGAACACAGGATATCCCAAATATTAATTGCCAGTATGAATTTATTAATATGGTTAATACTAATGGCGGATTGAAACTAAAATACAGTATTACCAGAATTACATACACACTTTCTATGAAAAAAATATTGTAAAGCCAGAAATTAGCTAAAGGAGGACGAAAACTACAAAATGGTGGTAAGTAATTAACAAAAATATATTTAAACTTTCAGTGAACATAATAATCATTTATGTAACTCTTGTTTTTGTTAGTGGAATGCCATGTACAATTTTTAATGTTTTACGTTCGACAAAAATATTCCATTAGCTATGTACACTTAATTTGTATATGTACCAAGTTTGTTGATTTTTTTTCATTTTTTAGGTTCAATGAAGATCCAATGAAATCAGGCAATAAAATATTGGTTAATTAAGGTCAAAGAAAGAATTTGTAATAAAAAATAAGATAAATATATATGATTTTTTTAAAAACACACACACACACGGACAGGACAGGACAGGACAGGACAGGACAGGACAGGACAGGACAGGACAGGACAGGACAGGACAGGACAGGACAGGACAGGACAGGACAGGACAGGACAGGACAGGACAGGACAGGACAGGACAGGACAGGACAGGACAGGACAGGACAGGACAGGACAGGACAGGACAGGACAGGACAGGACAGGACAGGACAGGACAGGACAGGACAGGACAGGACAGGACAGGACAGGACAGGACAGGACAGGACAGGACAGGACAGGACAGGACAGGACAGGACAGGGACAGGACAGGACAGGACAGGACAGGACAGGACAGGACAGGACAGGACAGGACAGGACAGGACAGGACAGGACAGGACAGGACAGGACAGGACAGGACAGGACAGGACAGGACAGGACAGGACAGGACAGGACAGGACAGGACAGGACAGGACAGGACAGGACAGGACAGGACAGGACAGGACAGGACAGGACAGGACAGGACAGGACAGGACAGGACAGGACAGGACAGGACAGGACAGGACAGGACAGGACAGGACAGGACAGGACAGGACAGGACAGGACAGGACAGGACAGGACAGGACAGGACAGGACAGGACAGGACAGGACAGGACAGGACAGGACAGGACAGGACAGGACAGGACAGGACAGGACAGGACAGGACAGGACAGGACAGGACAGGACAGGACAGGACAGGACAGGACAGGACAGGACAGGACAGGACAGGACAGGACAGGACAGGACAGGACAGGACAGGACAGGACAGGACAGGACAGGACAGGACAGGACAGGACAGGACAGGACAGGACAGGACAGGACAGGACAGGACAGGACAGGACAGGACAGGACAGGACAGGACAGGACAGGACAGGACAGGACAGGACAGGACAGGACAGGACAGGACAGGACAGGACAGGACAGGACAGGACAGGACAGGACAGGACAGGACAGGACAGGACAGGACAGGACAGGACAGGACAGGACAGGACAGGACAGGACAGGACAGGACAGGACAGGACAGGACAGGACAGGACAGGACAGGACAGGACAGGACAGGACAGGACAGGACAGGACAGGACAGGACAGGACAGGACAGGACAGGACAGGACAGGACAGGACAGGACAGGACAGGACAGGACAGGACAGGACAGGACAGGACAGGACAGGACAGGACAGGACAGGACAGGACAGGACAGGACAGGACAGGACAGGACAGGACAGGACAGGACAGGACAGGACAGGACAGGACAGGACAGGACAGGACAGGACAGGACAGGACAGGACAGGACAGGACAGGACAGGACAGGACAGGACAGGACAGGACAGGACAGGACAGGACAGGACAGGACAGGACAGGACAGGACAGGACAGGACAGGACAGGACAGGACAGGACAGGACAGGACAGGACAGGACAGGACAGGACAGGACAGGACAGGACAGGACAGGACAGGACAGGACAGGACAGGACAGGACAGGACAGGACAGGACAGGACAGGACAGGACAGGACAGGACAGGACAGGACAGGACAGGACAGGACAGGACAGGACAGGACAGGACAGGACAGGACAGGACAGGACAGGACAGGACAGGACAGGACAGGACAGGACAGGACAGGACAGGACAGGACAGGACAGGACAGGACAGGACAGGACAGGACAGGACAGGACAGGACAGGACAGGACAGGACAGGACAGGACAGGACAGGACAGGACAGGACAGGACAGGACAGGACAGGACAGGACAGGACAGGACAGGACAGGACAGGACAGGACAGGGACATCATCCCGAAACGGATTTAGGGGATCCCAAAACGTAAAAATCCGTCGAAAACTGGAGGTCGAAAAAAATCATGATTTCTATATTTTCCTTATATGTATACGCACACGCACAAAAAACAAATACCCGCTATGGATAGAATGCCCATCAATAGAACGGCAGTAGGCGAGATACTACTGATAACGCGCATTGCTTATTCTTAAAGCAAACGAATGTTAGTAATGACCTACACACTACAATCTGTAAAATGGTCTATGCATGTTATATATTTTTATTCCTTTTTTTATATCACTTACTTGATTGACACCAGGTTTAATACCGTGATCGTTCTCAAGCAGCTCCTTTAAATGATGTACAAGGTAATTCGAAACTCCAATATTTCTAACTAAACCGTCTTTCACGGCACGTACCATAACTTGCCAAGTTTCGTCCCTCAGAACCGAATCGTTCTTAGGATTTGTCGTGTTATCGCGAGAAGGTAAGCCCGGAAAATGGATTAAAAATAAATCCACGTAGTCGTAGCCAAGGTTTTTGACGGATTTTTCTATACTTTGATAAACATCGGCTTCACCAAGTTTGGTAGATACTAAAATATACAACGAGTTACATATGGATAGTTTATAAAAATAATGCAAAAAGAAGAATAAGAAGTACACTAACTCTTTCAAGGATATTAGAAGAGACTGTAGAACACGAAGAAATACATAAGAATTAACAGTAAAACAGTAAAAGATGAACAAATAAAGAACATGTAGAGTAACGAGCAATCTTAGAACGATGTTTTAGAGAGAAGAAAACATTTTTTTAAATTATTGAAAAAAAGGAAATAGAAAAAAAAGAGAATAAATCATAAGAAAGGTTGGAAGAAATATTAAGCAATGGGGAAAAACGAAGATAACATAAATACCGCAAAAACTAGATGTATAAAAAGTATTAAAAAAAAAGCTAGTAAAAAATAAAAAAAAAATTATATAGAATACAAAACAATTAAAAGAACAATAAGACGACTAAAAGTTAATAAATGGGAACAGATATCTAACATAGAAGATAAAAACGGCCCGTATTTATAAACAGAACTTACGTGAGTCGGACTTGGGTAAGTCGTCCTTGAACTAAAATCGAAGTTCGGTTACAACGTCTCTAAAGTTCTAGGTGGTTCTGGTGTTTGACTGGAATTTAGAGATGGATATTAGCAAATATGTAACTGTTATGTACATTTACGGATTTGTTACTGCCCATCTCTAAATTCACGCAATATAACCGGATTTTCGTTCAAGAACGACTTACCCAAGTCCGACTCAGCTGAGTTTTGTTTATAAATACGGGCCCAAGAGTTAAAAACAAAACTAGATGAAGAACTAAATATAACAAAAGAAGAAAAGGAAGAAGAAGAAGAAAAACATAGGAAGAAGAAATAAAATATTACAAGGAAATAAGTTAAAGAGACTAAAACATTCCAGAGCCGGAGGTACTTATAGTGATCGGAATTTATGAAATGGGGAAGAATATAGATACATAACACCATGTGCAAGGCCTATTTCACACTTACTTACATAATTTGGTAGTAATAAATATGTCTTTCCTTGTTAAATTATATTTGGGCAAAAGAACTTTTAGCGCTTGTCCAATGGATTCTTCATTTTCATAGTATTGCGCAGTATCTGAAAATAAAAATGTGAACATTAAATCAATAAATATGTTTTTCTAATAAAATTATTTACCTATAAGTCGATATCCTGCCGCCAAAGCATAATCAAGAAGTTTAAAAATTAGATCGTCTCCTTTAACTTTGTAGGTACCAACTAAAAATTAAATAATGAGTTAATTTAAAGACGTAATAGCTTTGTTCGGGGAGCCTGTCGGTGACATGTCCACGGCAGATGAGCATGCGGATTCCAATTTTAGGCCGAAAATCAAACGCTCAAAACCGAAATGAGCATGCTCATCTATCGTGGACATGTCGCTCCGGGAAAAAAGCTAATATTATATACAAAATCATATTTCTACAAAATTTCAACAGCTATTCACAATTTATTAAACTATTTACATGAATACGCGAAATTGTTATTTGCATCTATAAAATAATTTCGCACGCCAATGTATTGCGATAATTTCGGTTAGATCTGCGGCAAAACTGTCAAATCCTGTATATGAAATGAAGTAAGAGAACTGCGAAAGTTGTTCAACTTCTGTCTGCCTTCTACTACTTTAGGAATATAATTCATTCTGTACAACATACTTTATGTATGACCCGGCTGCATTTTCCGTTTCCTATACGAATAGCATAGGCGGAGCGCTACTCGTACAGGAAACGTAGAATATTAATATTTTACAATGCCTATGCGAGTGACGCACATCTCGTGAAAATACGCTATGGAGCGTTGGTAATTGTTGTACCATCTTTTTTAACTGATTTTCGCTCGATCCTCCTGTCGGACGACTAGATTCGATGCATTATTGAATTATTGTTTTAGTCTTCATTTCAAATTTAACACGCACACGCGTACTTTAAATGTTGCTTCATCATTTTAGTTTCCATTTTAAATTCAACGTGCGCAACGTGAAACAAGTAGGTATTGAAACAATAATAGCAAAAACTCCTAGAGAGTATAAAATTATCCATAATTCTGAAGGCATCGACAAGAAGCTTACACTACGAGGGAAATTTCAACTAGACAATAGTTACAGCAATCAATGCGATGAATTTTTAAAACATTTTTCCTTGGAAACTTGTAGCCAATGGATTATTTTTAAAACATATCCCAACCTCCAAAAGTTGGATTATCGGAAATATTTCGCGTGTCAACACAACAAAGAAAAAAAAACAAAAATGCTAGTACCAGAACCCGAAACTTGGATTGTCAAGCTAAAATATTTATTAAAGTAAAGAAAATAAACCGGTTTTCGAAATAAAGAGATCCTTTGTTAAAGGAAGGCTGTAATTATACAATAATAATTATTTACTTAATAATTATAATAAAGTAAAGAACATTAATAATTTATTTTGTTCGCTATTTACGTGCATATCCAATAACCTTTAAAAATACATTTTTCGACAACTTTAAAAAGAACGTCACATTTTACATTGTTATATGGACACGCAAAATAGGCCTTTTTTCACATGTGAAAAAAGTATTTTTCCTATTAAACGTACAGAGAATGTGCGTCGCTCGCGTAGACATTGTAAAATATTAATATTCTACGATTCCTTCACGATTAGCGTTCCGCGTAGCGCTACTCGTATAGGAAACGGAAAAATGCATCCGGAATAGCATCTTATAGGTATAAGATCAGATTTAACACATAAAGCAGCCTCCTTTGTACATTTATTTGTTTATAATGCAGAATTTTCTTATGAAATATTATCTTTTGTGGCCAGTTTTGCGAAATTTACACATTAAGTAGCATTATTCGCGGTGCGGTTAGCTGGGCTAAGTATAAGATCAGAGTTAATTCATAAAATAGCCTTCTCTGTACATTTATTTTGCAATAATATGCAGAATTTACACATTAAAATTTACACATTAAGTAGCATTTTTCGCAGTGGAGTTAGCCGAGTTTGCAGTTTATAAGTATAAGATCAGAGTTAACACAAAGTAGCCTTCTCTGTATATTTATTTGGCTTAAATGCAGAATGTATACATAAAATAGTATCTTCTCGACCAAAGTTTTACAAACTTTACACATTAAGAGGCATTTTTCGCGTTACAATTAGCAAAGTTTGCAGTTTATAAGTATCAGAGTTAATACATAAAGTAGCCTTCTCTGTAGATTTATTTGGCTTAAATGCAGAACTTACCCATAAAATAGTATCTTCTTAACCAAAGTTTTACAACATTTACACATTAAGTAGCATTTTTCGAGTTGCAGTTAGCCGAGTTTGCAGTTTATAAGTATGAGATCAGAGTTAACACATAAAGTTGCCTTCTTTGTACATTTGTTTGGCTTAAATAAGTTACACATAAAATAGTATCTTATCGACCAAAGTTTTACAAAATTCGAGAGACGCTAAAATGGTGGTTCCCATTTTATCGAGACTGAGGCCCACAAGGGTAAACTCGTAGCGTAACAAAAACGAGAAATGATTTAACTTGGAACTAAAAGTTCCCAAAATACAATTTAAAAAAATTAATAGACTGCCTACAGAAATTAAAAAAAAAACAACAATAAATGTATTCAAAAGTAACCTCAAACAAAACTTGATAAACAGAACGGATATACTTTCTTGTGATAATACTCTTTAAAACTGCTCTTTTTAAGTATTTCTCTTAATTTATTGTTATTTTACCCCTCCTTTTACCTCGTTTTACTACTTACTATGTTTAAATTATTAATAGTTTTGCGACGATAGGTTATAGCAACTTATAGCCACAAAACTATTTTTGTGTTAAAGTAGATCCATATAGAGCAGGCCTTCTTTCAACATACAAATAAATGACAACCTTATAATTAAAATGAAAAACACGAAATACCTCGGTATCATAATTGATATAGTTTTGAAATGGGTTGATCACATTACGTCATTAAAATTCCAAGGTAAGAAGATTAATTTTTAAATTTTATGAATTGAGGAAATTTATGACTAGGAGTTTACTAATTATTATTTACAATTCGCTGGTTGAATATGTAATCCAAAACTGTATAATTAAAATTATCTACAAAAAAACTGCATTAAATCTCTCTCTTTTATTATTTATCTTGCTGTACCTTTATTTATGGAAAGCCTGAACTAAGATACAAATTATTTGCAATAAATATCAAAAGAAGCATACATTTTTAAATAATTTGACATTTAAGAGCCATTCACACATCACAGTTGACATCTTGATACTTGGCAGGCACAGCCAAGCATTATTCTGCTTTTTGCCAAATAAAATAGCCGGTTAATTATTCTATGGGGTTCCGACAAAGAGCCAATAAATTTGATAAAGGTGTTTTTGTGGCTAGGGGCGAAATAGTAGTACGTTTAAGTTAACACCACCATAAAAAAGTCATTTTTAAGAAACTGCTTATATATTTTTCAGAAATTGGTAGGCTTAGCGACTAATTTCGAATAGAAATAGCCTTCAAAATGGCTATGGTTGCAAGTATGAAGGTCGCAACCTGTCTTAGAAATTTCACCTTTACTATCAACAGCTGTTGTTTGACAGGTCGTTAGAGAATGTTTGCAATTTATGGAATGTTGAGAATGTTAGGAATGTTGACGTTAGAAATAATTGGAATTCCTAAAATTGACACATAAGAATTACACATAGGCGGATTTTAAGAAAATTGATTTTAAAGTAGTTAGGATGATCCGAAAATTCTGAAAATCAATAGGGTTCTAATTTAGAAGTAATTATTCAAGAAAAACAAAACCGTAAGTCAATCAGAACTTTCGTTCTAGAGTTATTGTGCCGGCATACATACACACAGACGACCAGACGAATTTTTTTTGCATTTTCGTAGTAAGAAATTCTTTTCGTCTGCACGAATGCAATACTGAGGCCCCATAGGAAGGGCCTCAGTAATTTACACATTTAGTTGCATTTTTCGCGTTGCAGTTAGCTGGACTTGCATAATGTAAGTATTAGATCAGAGTTAACACATAAAGTAGCCTCCTCTGTATAGTTATTTGTTATTTGCAGAATTTACACACAAAGTAGTATCTTCCGCCACAAAAGTTTTGCGAAATTTGCACTAAAGTCACATTGTTCACTCTGCATACGGCTTATATGAATGATGTATCTTCTGCATATTTATATGTCGTCTAAATTCGGAAATTTACAGGAAAGCAGTATCTTCTGCAAGCTAAAAATCAATTAAATTATGAAGAAAACCATTCTCAAACCTGTACTAGTATAAGATCAGAGTTAACACATAAAGTAGCCTCCTCTGTACATGTCTTTGTCTATAATGCAGAATTTACACATAAAGTAGTATCTGCCCTCTCATCAAAGTTTTGCGAAATTTGCACATTAAGTAGCATTTTTCGTTTTGCAGACGGATTTTATGAATGACTGCACCGTTAACACATAAAGGTAGTATCTTCTGTATATTTATTTGTCGTCTAAATGCAAAAATTTACTGCAAGATAAAAATCAGTTAAATAAAAAGAAAAACATAATTTTCCTACCTGTGATCTGAATTCCTTCATTTCTTTTTCAATTTATCGTATTTCTAATACGATTGGCGTTTTTACAATCACTGGAATGTGGTCGGTTTAACGATGTGAATCAGGTGACACAACAATTGGTAATGATTAATGTAGTAGGCAGGCAGCGATAGAGAGTGACGTAAAATGTTAAATTTGAACATGTAGGTCAGCGGCGTAACATAGGTATACTACATGGTTATCTTTATTTCCACTAACAAGGATGTGAAGCATAATTATTAAATTAGTATTCAATACTCTATAAACTCAAATACTAAAAGAAAAGGACACTCAATGATAAATCTCACCTGCAAATCCTGTAAGCCAGCACCCACAATTCACAATATATCAAGCTTTTCAGAAACCTAAAACACTCGAAATCCATACCATGGGTAATTTATAACCATAAATCAGCGCCTTTATTGTGATCACTTCAAGTACGGCTCGAAAATGTTGCGCACACGTTAATTTTGCATGGTTCACTTTCCAAGAGCATACATAAATTAGATGTTTTTTTGAAAAAATTGAAAATCTGTGTACCTTTTAATATAAGAAAATATTATAAGGATTTTTCTAAGAATTTAAAAAATAGTATATACCTATGTTAATTTTTAATTTTAAGATACACTGCGCCTTTATTTTTTGTTTTGTTTTAGATATCCCTGGGTA